GTGTTGGTTTGGTTTGTTTTGTGATGTTCTGGTGTGCTCTGTTCTTTCATGATATGCATTGTTTTGTCATGTTCTGTCCTGCTCTGTTCTGGTCTGTCGTGTTTATGTGTACAATGCTGTGCTGTTTTGTCATGATGTGATCTGTGATGTTATGCGATGTCATGTCATGATCTGTGTTATAATGGTACTGCCATGTTGTGTTCCGTCGTGCTATGACATGATCGTGTTTGGTTGTGGTACCTTCTGTTTTGACATGTTGTGTTTCGTCGTGTTCGTCGCCATACTCTGTTGTTGTGCCATGCTATGTTCTGAACGCTGTGTTATGAGATGGTATGTTCTGTCACTGTGTGTTCTGGTATGATATGGTAGGTTATGGTGTGGTATGCCGATGTCTGACATGTAATGTCATGCCTAGATATGGTTTGTGATGTTATAAAATGATGTATGCTGTCATGACGTTGCTATCGTGTGTTCTGTCATGGCCTGTTGTGCAATGGTGTGTTGTTTCGGGTTTGTCGAGGGCGCGACTCGGGGATTTTCGGGACAACTGTGGGTCTGACCTGGTTTCTGGTTGTTCTGTGATATTCTCTAGTGTTCTGTACTGGTTTGTTATGTGATGTTCTGTGGTTCTCTGCTATGTGACGTTCGGCTCTGGTTTGTCCTGTGATGTTATGGGTGTGCTCTGTTTTTAATGCTATGCTCTGTTATGTTATGTCGTGTTCTGTCTACTATGTTGGTCTGTTCTGGCGTGAAACGCTCTGGTAGGGTCTGTGATGTTATGGCATGATCTGCTTTGTAATGGTACTGCCATGTTCTGTTCCGTCATGCCATTTCATGGTTGTATCATGTGAGGTTATCTTCTAGTGTTGCATGTTGTGTTATGTCGTGTTCGTCGCTATGCTCTGATGTCGTGATATGATATGTTCTGCACGTTGTGTCATGATTTGACATGTCCCGTCAAGGTGCGCGATGTTGTGTTGAGTTATGTTATGTTATGTTAGTGTGTGTTCTGTCGTTGTCTGTTCTGCGATGTTCTGCTCGGGTATGGTTTGTGGTGTTATAGTATGTTCTATGTTGTCATGGTATTGTTATGCTATGTTCTGTCATGTTCTGTTGTGTACTGTTTTGCTGTTTCGTGTTTATGGAGGGCGCGAGACTGGACTCCCAGGGACACTCGGGGACTCGGGGACACTCGGGGACTCTCGGGAAATCTTGGGGTCTGGCGGCCGCGGTATGCAGTCGTGTTTGTCGAGGGTGAGTGGGCGGGATTCCCAGAGACTCTCTGGGATACTGGGGGATTCTCGGGACAACTTGGGTTCTGGCGGCCGCGGTATGCAGAGTGGGGTTGGCCGGGGGGGTTATTATTGAAATCTAACAACCCCAACCTGTCGGGTGGGGAACAACAGCAGCAGTATCAACAACCACAACAATAACAGTAATTTTCGAGACTGTTCGCTCTTACTGGTACGCGTGTTTTGCATTCCGTATACCCGTACCCTCGATACCCGCCCATTTCGTCTTCGATTGCACCCCCTTTCGGGGGGGAATCTCTTCCTTGTCGGCCGCAGACTCAAGTGCGAAGAAGTCGCGAGCGAGAGCGCCGTTCCTGAGTTCGGGGGCCTCTCTGGCCAGGGGCCCCCGGAATACTGATGGAGAAATATCGAATGGGAGCTTTTGTCGCCGTGTCCAGGCCTCCACCAACTTGCCTGAATTATTTGAAAGTCTCGAGCGAGAGCGCCGTACCTGAATTCGGGGGCCTTCTAGTCCAGGGGCTCTCGGAGTAAATCGTGAGGAAGCAGGAGCCCTTGTCGTCGTTGCTGGGCCTCCGCCAACTTCATTGAATTGCGAGGCAGTCTCGAGCGAGAGCGCCGTTCCTGAGTTCGGGGGCCTCTCTGGCCAGGGTGTCTCGGGGTAACTTTTGAGGAAGTATCGAGAGGGAGCCGTTGTTGTCGTAGCGTGGCCTCCAAGGGCCCACATTTAGGGTCAAGCCACCCTCGGGCGGGAGCCTCGTTTTCCGGAGATCAACAATGCTTATGTTTGAGCCATGGGTATTCAACAACATCAACAACAGGCACAACCAACAACAGCAACCAACAACAACAAGCACAAGCACAACCACAGCCACAGCCACAACCACAACAACAACCACAACAACACCATCAACAACGACACCTTCACCATTAATCGCAATCATTTTAAACGTGTTCGCCTTGCCTGCTCGCGTGCCATTTAACACGTATTCCCAGCCCTCGATACCCGCCCTTTTCGTCTTCGTTCGTATCCCTTTGGGGGTATCTCTCTTTTAATCTGCCGCGTGTAATTGGTGCAGCCCCTCAAACAGGGGAAGAGAGGACGGATGGAAGGTGGGGGAAAAGGATGCAGCACGGAATAGGTTAGCAGGAGGGAGGCTAGGAGCTGAAAACACGAGGAAGTACCAGACGGGCTGATCGGGCGGGTAGACCCTGACGGGCAGGTCGGGCAGGCGGGCCCAGGCTGCCAGGTCGATCAGGCGGGTGGATGGGGCGTGAGCTGCATGAGTCGCCAGGAGGTCTCGAGCGATGGCGCGATTCCCAAATGAATTGCCGGAGAAGCCAGTGGGAGAGCGCGATTCCTGAGCGTCGGGGGCGCGGCGACTGAGGAGGAGGAGGCAGGACTAAGAGGAGGAGGAGGAGGAGGAGGAGGAGGATGAGGAGGAGGAGGAGGAGGAGGAGGAAGAGGGAGGAGGGGATGAGGAGGAGGAGGAGGAGGAGGAGGGAGGAGGGGAGGAGGATGAGAAGGATATTGAGGACGAGGCGAAAAAGTCGCGCGGCATCCGCGCGGCAGCCCGCCGAGTCGTTGGTGCCAGGAGCCCGCGTGAAGCTGGTCATGGTGCTCTGTTCTTGACGTTCAGGCTCGAGCTCGCGGTCGTTCTGGTGGGCGGCCCGGCTGCACGAGTTGGGCTTCAGCGGCGGGTGGGCGGCCGCTTGTTCCTACACTCGCGACGGGCCACTCTCTCTTGTCCACCTTGGCTTCGCAGCTCCCAGGGGAAGCGGGGGGGGTCAGGGACAACCTTCCTCCTCCCCTCCCTCTCACTGTCCCACTGCTTGCCGTGCTCGTCGCCCTCATCATCCTCCGCAGCCTCCCCCTTGTCTCCCCCTGTAGGAGTTCCAGGTCGGCTATGACACGCGTCCGGGGATGCAGAACAGCAGCGCAATGGGAGGGGATGGGAGGGAGGGATAGGATGTCAGATGTGGGTTGAGTACACCTACCCTGTCATTTGCCCCTCTCCTCCCTCCTCATCCGTCCCCTGTGCGTCTATCGCCCGACCTTGCAGGGCCAGTTGCGCGTTTCGAAGAACCGAAGGTTGCATAAACCTAATTTCTCGGAGGCCTGCGCGGATGTCTTGAATCGGCGTTGGGCACCCCCTGGCGGCGCCTCTGGCGCCGCCCCTGGCGCACTCCGCGCGCCAGGGAGGGGTCCAGCTCCGAGCCGAGAATTCCGCGCGGACCTAATATACATGATGGTTGTTGTTATGCTCCTCTAGAAGAAGACGAAGAAGGAGGATGAGGCGGAGGCGGAGGACGGGGAGGGGAAGGGCGTGGGGGTAGAAGAGGAGGAGGAGGAGGCGGAGGAGGAGGAGGAGGAGGAGGGGAAGGAGGAGGAGGAGAGGGAGGATACCGATTAGGAGTTGGCGAAGGAGGAGAAGGAGGGGGTGATGCTCGGAGAGGAGAAAACTGGGTACGCTAACCTTTCGGAGGTCCACGGGGGGGAGGGGCCCACTGGCTGCGCCTCGAAGCGCCGCCCCTGGCGCGCTCCGCGCGCCAGGGAGGAAAAGGAGGAAAAGAAGGAGAGTGAAGTGGGGGCAGGAGGAGGACCAGTGTAAACCCAAGAGTCGTTAACGATGATGGAGTAACCCCTCCCTCCAAGCTCCCTCTTCATAGGTCCTTACAGCGGTTCGTTTCCACAGGGAACTGTCTCGCTGGAAAACAACCGTTTGAAGACCCTGAAGCATGCCAAAACATTGCTCTCGGGATTCCAACGCCACGGATCAACCTGATTGTTGCGTCTTGACGGTCTTGAATCGTGCCAGACCGCTATTCCTGGGACTTCACCGCGAATCAACGAGGAGGAGTGCCCGCCAGGTCGGACGAAGGGGGGAGACACAGGCGAGACATTCATTAGTAGGTCGACCCTGCCAAATCGAGGATGTCCTTGTGTCCTGAGCTTCGCGGCCCATGCCTTTTAGATTCCTACGGCAAAGTGGCCTTCCCAAGTGTCTTGTGTCCTTCAGCGCGTCCTCTCCAATCAAACCCGACTGGAGAGAGGGAGGATGTGACATTTGTTGCGTGAAGTTGGTTGCAGCCCCGCCACTGGGCACTGTCCTCGATGCACTTGCGCCTCTGGCGTCGGGAAACGCAGGCGAACTCAGTCACGTAAGCCGTTTGGCTAACCCCCATCTCGGCTACTCAAGAAGCCTACTCCATTCCGCCGACCCCCAGAAGAGGCGGGGAGTTCACGGTTGAGGCGTCGTGTGTTTCTTGGGCCGTATCTGCGGACTCCTGTGGGCGTCTTGGGTGCTGTTTTGGGGCCTAGTCGAACCTCTGGGAGGTAGTTTTGGAGCGTCTTGGGGGGCGCTTTGGATCCTCTTTTGGGCCTCTCTTTGCAATTTCCCTCTTTCGTCTGACCCGAGCGGGTCCAAGAAGTCCATGCAGAACTTCGGAAGACCATGTTTTCGCAGTCGTGCATTTCCTAGTGCCTGTTCTGAGCTCGTGCGCGGTCCTCTGTTAAGTCGGGCATGTCCCTATACAGGAGAAATATTCCAAAATAGTAGACGAATAGTCTATCGACGATTTCCCACCTGTTGTTGGATATGTTCGAAGTTTTCTGGCTATTGTTCTTCCAGAATCCGCCTGTAGGAGGACATGCTCTTCTTAAATCAAGCGGCCATACACGTGACACGCTCCAGGATTTTCAGGATCCCCGAGGTTTCTTAATTTCCCATGCATATGCCTGAACGTATCCTGAACCAGTCGCATCGTGGCACCATTCCCGTCACAGCCTTGCGCCCCCATCTGATGTCACGCGCGCGATGGTTCAAGCTTGCAGAGTATGCCGGAAAAAATGTCATTCCGCACCCTGCCCGTGAGACGCGTATCGATAGTCAATGGCTCGTGATCGTCGGTGGTGGCTCTGCTAATGTCCAAGCTGCTGGACGCCGATGGCGAGGAAGTTGTCGCGGGAGCCACAGAAGGGTACTGGCTCTGTGCGTCGGACTTTGTTTCCACTGCGGGCAAGTCGGTCCTGGAGTTCGGCAAGCTGGGCTTCCCGCGAGATTTTCCAAATGTCTACTCGACGAGTAAGGTCTTGAAGTCGCTGATCGGCAAGAAGGGCTCATGTGCTGGCAAGATGGTATCCGTGGTTGCTGCACCTTCGCCTGAGGTGGTTTCAAAGGTACCAGGCATCACATTCCAGCCGCTGCAGAGCTTCGCCAACGCTGAGATCATTCAGAAGGACGCCGTTTTCAGATCCTGCTTTGAGTAGAACCGCTGACCAGATCCACGGGCCTTGAAGTACGTTTTGGGCTCTGGATAGTGCCCCAGGATTGGTCCGTCTCAAGCCACTCTTGGCAGCACTCATTGGACGCCCCACGGTGGCCCAAACATGCCCCCCCCCACATCGCCCCCACCCAAGCTCCCAAGACGGCCTGCTGGGCGCCGCGAACGCTCTCCCACAGGGCCCACGGAGGACCCCATCAACAATGCAAGAGGTCCTAGGCTCAAAATGGTCACTGGTCACAGGATTTCGAAAGAAGCCTCCAGGGAACCCCCAAGAGTCGGTATTTGTATCTCTGACCGGGCGACGTGTTGCAATGGATGTGGTCGGTTTCTGGGTTTCTGCGAGTACGGTACAGTGCAGGTATAGTGGAGGTGGTCTGCAAGTGCAAGTCGGCAAGTCGGTTGTTTGGCCCCTCCACCCACTGGCCCAGCGCATCGATGTTTTCCACGATTGCTGCTTTAACCCCGATGGGTTACTATGAATCCATGTGGCTCCCTCTACCCACACTGTCCCTGTGTGCCGCAAGTCCTCTCCATGGTTGCTCGGATGCTTGTTGGTTGAAGGGCAGACGAGGATAAGCTGGGGGGAGGAGTCTCAGCAGGCGGCCGAAGTATATCCAGGTAATAGAGCAACATCGCATCGCGGGTCATGAGAGGGCATTTCTAAGACCAGTCACATGGTCACAAGTTCCAGCCCCTATCCACTTTGCAAGTACAGCACAGCATGGAAGAGTTCCTGTCGGGGCGATGCGTTCCTGATTTGCACTTCATAGCGCCCTTTGGCCCATTTGGTTTTTGCCCCCCCCGGGCCCTTGGACTCTCAAGCTTGGACGTACCGTACAGCTTTGACTCGCGTGTGCAGCATGCAGGCGCACTGTCTGTGCCATGCGTGTGCGAACGCGCATGCGTTGCGATTAGGTTGCGTAGTTTGGCAGTTCATGCGAGTCAGGTCACGATCCCGTGTCCTTGTTCTCTACGGGTGAGACCTTTGCCATGGCGCCTTTCATATCCCACTACACGCCGAGCAGCTCTAATTGTCATGCTGACCTTTGGAAGAGCTACAAGGAGGGTAGCAAGTCGAACACTATACAGACATTCTCGGATTGTGGAGCATGCGGGGAGGATGTTTAGAGTACAGTACAAGGAGAAGGCGCGTGTGTATTCAGCAGCGCGAGGCTGATGCCCGTTCAGAGACGAGTAAGCCTGGCAAAGGCGACTGGCTGGACGGTGCTGCAAGGGTGGATCGTTTGGGAGCAGCTGGAGCTGCCAATCAGCGAAGCCTTTGTGGTCGAGAGATATTGGTGGAACCAGATGCCCGACAACAAGTGGGTCCGATTGTTTCTTGTTCCACTGTGCCATTTTGATTCAGGGATTGTAGGCAGTAGGATAACGGTGTGTTTGCCTTTAGTGCTACAAGTGCGTCGATCATGCTGTCATGCGTGCTTGTCCTTGGCCGTGGCGTGGAGGGATCTTGGCATCAAGGCTCCTGCACCATCGTATGATGCGGACGACCTGACAGGTTCAGAGGCGCAGAATCGACAGCCCGCGGTTCCAAAGCGTTCGACGGCCAGGTTTCCCACGAGGTAACGCGTTGTTGTCGATGTTGTTGTTGTTGGTGTTGTTGCTGTTGCTGTTGGTGTTGTTGTTGTCGTTGTTGGTGTGCGTGTTGGTGTTGGTGTTGGTGGTGGTGTTGTCGTTGCTGTTGTTTTTTTGCACATTCATTTCCATGGAATAGTTATGGTTGATCTCCGGAAACGGCTCCGCGCGCTCTCACCTCGACGCCGGCTACATTTATTGAAAACGAGGCTCCCGCGCGAGCGTCGGCTTGAGTGTAAATGTGAGCCCTTGGAGGCCCGTCTACGACGACATCTGCTCCCGCTCGATGCCTCCCTCATAGTAATTTACCCCGAGACACCCTGGCCAGATAGGCCCCCGAACTCAGGAACAGCGCTCTTGCTCGAGACCTCCTCGCAATTCAATCAAGTTGGTGGAGGCCCAGCCACTACGAGAAGGGGTCCTGCTCGATACCGCCTCACGATTTACTCCGAGAGGCCAGGAAGGCCACCGAACTCAAGAACGGCGCTCTCGCTCGAGACTTTCTCGCGATTCAGTCATATTGGTGGAGGCCCAACTACGACGACAAGGGCTCTCGTTCGATACTTCCTCAAGATGTATTCGCAAAGGCCCATGCCAGAGAGGCACCCAAACTCAAGAGTGGCGCTCTCGCTCAAGACTTCCATGTTCTCCAGAGCCACCAGATCTCAGAGATTCTCGAGTTGTCCTCACCCGAATCTGTATTCGTCCTGGCTTTGTCTCTCGAGGCCTCCCAGATGGGATCGGAGTGGATGGGGTCGGAGGACAGCGCCGCATCGCCGATGCATCGGCGATGCGGCTCGATGTGGAGGACGATTTTCTTGACGCCGATGGCGCCGATGCATCGCCGACGTCGCCGATGCCTCGCCGGTGCATCGCCGATGCATCGTGGATGCATCGCCGATGCATCGGCAATTCGGCGCGATCTTCCGACCCCACCCACTCGCACCCCATTCAGGAGGCCTCCATCAGAGGCCACAATAGGGGCGAGTAGCCCAGGGGAGAGCAACACACGTATCCAGGGGCGCCGATGATCTATGTCTTCGGCAAGGCTCCCGGGCGAAAGCGTGCAACGCCCCCCCCCCCCTGGGCGATTCGCAGCACTCCCCTTCCCTGGCATCGCTCGGACGTGTGCGTTTTTCCGTCGGCGAGGACCATCGAGGAGCATCCCTGATCCTTTGGCGAAAAAGCCACGCACGAAACCAAACAACAACACAGGGCATGGACGTCCGAGCGATGGCCAGCACTCCCGCCGCCCCCCCCCTTGCCGCAGGTCGACTTCACGCCCCGGCCCGACGGCTGCCCCCAGCTGCTGCTGGCGGAGGCCGCGGCCGGCGCCCCGAAGAGCCGGGGCGCGCTGACCGAGGCCGACAAGGAGTGCCGCGGCGCGGGGCGGGCTCGATCCGGCCCGATCGCCAAGCTTCGATGCCGAGGCTTACCCGGCGCGGAGCGCATCCCTCTCTGTCCTGCAGGTGCCGCGCGCGATCCGCCATCGACGACGATTTTGATGCCGCGCCGAAGCGGGGGCTAGCCGAGGCGTGGTCAAGGCGATGCGGTTCGCAGAGTCCGGCCCAGCTCGGGCCTGCCGCGTCCGCGCGATGCGGCCCCTTGCAGATCTGCTGTGGGGCGCGAGTCCGGCCACGTGCCTCTTGTGACGTCCTCTCTTCCCCGGCCCCGGAGCGGCCCCTCCGACCCACAGGCCAGCCACATTCCCCCGCCCCCTCTCGTCGCGAACAAAGTCACGGCTGGAGTGCTTGTTGTTGTTTTTGTTGTTCCCCCTTTTTCGACCTTCAGAGGGGGCCTTCCCAGGCCCGGGGCAGCCCCCAAAGGACACGCCAAGAGGACCCAAGAGGCCCAAAAGAGGCCCCGAAAGGCACCCCAGGAGGCTTCAAAATGGCCTTCACTGTGCCTCCCCAGAGGCTCGAACAGGCAGTCACGGGGTCTCACACCAGCACCACAGGCACGGCGGCAGGTTTTGGCAGGGTGCCACCATGAGGGGCACGCGTGAACGAGGGGGGCACAGTGGCCCCTCCTCCTTGCGTGCTCCGTCTTCGAAGGCTCGCGCTTCTCCTTCTGCTCCTGCCCCCCCTTGTCCAGCCCCGTTGGGCCCCGGGCCAGAGACCACCAGGGGCACCCAGGGTTCAATAAGTGACTCAGGAGAGGAAAAAAGACACAGACACAATTAATCCTCGATTCCTCAGAAAATATGGGAAAATATGGGAAGTGGGGGGGAAGACAGAAATCCAGAAAATATGTGACAAATATGGGGAATCTTTTTATTCGTGTGTGTGTCTTTATTTGTGTGTCCTGGGGCCCCTTCAAAGTGCCCCTCCCTCCGCCCGGAGGCTCCGGCCCAGGAGACCCCCAAGCCGCCCCGAGATGCACCCAGGAGAAACCCCCTCGTGGGCCCCGAGCGGCCAAGGGCGCCGCCTTCCTTCCTGGGACAACGTACATATCTTTGGCATGTGCATGGTTGTTGCCCCACCAGCGTCCCCAGCGGTGTCGAGAGGCCCCCGAGAGCGCCCCGAGGCCGCCGAAGAGGCCCCCAAGGAGGACCCCGAGGAGCCAGGGATGGCCCCAAGACGGCCCAAGGGGCGCCCAAGACGGCCTCACGGCGCTGCAAGAGGGCCCCAAGACTCCAAAGAGGCCTCCCAACCGCCCCCCGAGCGGACCTCCGATCGACTTCAAGGTGGCCTCCCAGAGCATCCCGGCGGTCCCCAAGAAGCCTCCAAGGTGTCCCGAAGGGGCCCGCAAGGGACGCCCAAGTGGCCCTCACGAGTCGCCCGAGCGGCCCCCGCAGAGACTACAACTTACTTCTTGTACGCCTCAAGTCGAAGGCACCTCCAGTACAGAAGGTATGCAAACACTCTCCCCCTCACTCCTCTTTCCCTCCTCTTCTCTCATCTCTCCGCATCCCACCCCTCAGCACCACTGTCTCTCACTTTGCATCTCCTCTCTTTCATGCGCCCTCCTCCTCTATGTCCATCTTGCCTCCGCCTTCTTTCTCATCCGCACCTGTTCCATAGTCACTCTTCGTGCAGACCTTCCAGCATGCCCTGCTCTCTTCTGCGTTCTCCCTCTCCTGCCTCCTGCCATCTGACTACCTCGTCTCCCCGCCTCGGTGATCTCCCCGTCATCCCTCCTTCCTCCGCCCTGCCCCCCCTCCGTTTCCCTCTCCTTTTCACGTTGCATCCCTTTGTCCTCCCTCTAGCCTCTTCCTCCTCCACCTCCTCCCTCCACTGTCCCTATTCCCCATCCTCTCCTCCATATTTGGCTTCCGCATGTCTCGCCTTCCTACACTAATCGTCCTGCCACCTCCCTCCTCTATCTTGCCTCCGGGCAGTACCATCTTCCATCCATACACCGGAAGCCCGACCCCAGGGGCTCCAGGCCGCAGCACATTCGGGATGAAAATAGAAACATGTGGTGGAAGAGAAGGAAGCGGAGGAGTGAGAGGACTAGCAGGATGCCGAAAAGCGTTGGATGGGGGGGGTGGGAAGGATGAGGAGGAGCAGGAGGAGGAGGAGGGTTCGGAGATAAGGAGGGAGGAGGGAGGAGGAGGAACTGGACGATATCAGGATGAGGAAGAACCAGACGAACCGAAGGAGTAGGAGGAGGAGGAGGAGGAGGAAGAGCAGGAGGAGGTGGAGGAGGAACAATTGGGGAGGACGGGAGGGGGAGGGACAGCAGGAGGCGTAGGAGCAACAGGGTGGAGAGGAGGAGGAGGAGGAGGAGGAGGAGGAGGAGGAGGAGGAGGAGCAACAGGGACAGCAGGAGCCGGCCCAGGACCTGTTCGTCCACCTCCTCCGGCTGCGCTTCCCCGCGATCGCCGCGCAGAGGGTGCCGGCGGTTCTGCCTCCCTCGGAGCCGGAGGTTGCAGCTGGATCGCCGAGTCCGGCGGCGCCTGCCGAGCCGCGGCCGCCGGTGGCGCACTCCGACGCGGGGATCCCTCCGTGGGGCACGGGTTCTGATGTTCCAACCTACTTCAGCCTGGATCACCAGAAAAGATTTGGAGCGCACCCCAAAACTCGAGGGCTCTCACGCGCCGGGCCCTGGGAGACACTGTTTCGACACTCTTTCGACACTCTTCCGGGTGCTCGAGATCATTTCTGGGATGCGGTCCTGAAGTAGGATGGGAGCAACGGGAGGGGCACGGGGCAGTCCGCCGAAGAAGACACGACTGCGCAGGCAGGAATGTTATCGACGGTCCGCGCGGATCTCTGGGGTGGGCGCTGGTCTGCCCAGGTGCCCAGCGCTGGTCTGCCCAGGAGGTCCGCGCGGAGCGCCGAAAGTGTCTGGTGCTGCAGTGGTTCAAGCAGCGGCGCACCTTTTGTGGTTTCCAGGAAATGTTCTTAGAACATGTCTGGCTGGGACCGTCTTGTTTTAGCACATCGGGTTCATGTTCTAAGAGCATGGCTTTTGTTCTTAGAGCATTGCTGGGTTCTAAAAACATTTCGTGGTAGGACTATAGGAATGCCGGGACGGTCGGTCCCTGCTCAAGTTGTGTGTTCCTCCAGTCAGTCAGGGGTGAAGATCGGAGGATCCGAGGGGAATCTTTGGAGTTCCACCCGGAGACGCTGGTGCTGCCACGTCTCGCAGCGGGCGTTTTCCCCCTGGGTTTGGGCCCCGCAGATCGACCCGATTCAGAACATAGCGCAGAAAGGTTGGGTCCAGAGTCCAGAGGTCCAATCGTGATTGTTCGCGATGTAATTTTTCTTGCAACGCCAGATCTGGGAGGGGCGACGTTGGAGTTCGAGGACAGGTTTCCGGACGTTCTCTCTGGTTCTCGGCGGTTCCCTTGCCTCGGGGTGCTCTCCAGCAGCTGCTCCTCGCCGAGGTCCCGACTGGTCTCCGGAGAGCCGAATACGAGTTGTGACCCGATGAGGATAAGGGTGCAGCTGCCACGTTGCCGTTGCTTCGCTTCCGCGCATGTGGGCTTCTCGGGAGGCCCCGCCGCCACGGCCGGATGCGCCCCGAATTTCCCGGTCAGAGCGCAGCGCGCGAGGGCTCCGACGAGGAGCGGTGTCGATAGCTTAGTTCTTAGCCGGGCGAGGAGGAGGAGGAGGAGGAGCAGGAGGAGGAGGAGGAGGAGGAGGGGGAGGAGGAGCAGGAGGAGGAGGAGGAGGAGGAGGCGGAGGAGGACCAGGAGGAGCAGGTGTCGATAGCTCAGCTCTTGGCCGGGCGAGGAGTGGGCGGGCAGGCGCCCACGGGGCGCCGAGGACGACCCACCGGCCGAACCTGTTGAGGTGCCAGCAGCCTGCTCAGAGCACCAGCGCGAGCCTCGTGGCTCAAGCGGCGTGTTTGGAGGCCTGGAGGTTGACGCCGCCACCAGTTATGGGCGGCTGCCGCCACCGAGGGAGGATGATCCTGGCCTCGGTGGTGGGCCAAGCTTCGGGCTTCGTCGGTGGCGTTGGGAGACTACCACCAGCACCAACATCCAGGAATCTGCAGCACCCTGCAGGTGCGAATAAGAGGGAGGGGGCGGGCGCGTGTGTGTCGCGGGTGGGTCGAGAGGGGGTCCCGAGTGAGTCGCAGGTGGGTCGCGGGTGGGTCGCGGGTGGGTGGTGGGTGGGTCTCGGGTGGGTCGCAGGCGGGTCGCGGGTGGGTCGCAGGTGGGTCGCGAGCGGGTTGCGGGTGGGTCGCGGGGATTCGTCGCAAAGAGGACGACGACAACAAAAACAGTAAAGTTTAGAAAGTTCGCTCTAATCATATCCCAAACCCTCGGTACCCGCCCTCCTCGCATTCGATCGTGCCCCCTTGGGGACAGACACAGCTTCCTTGCCTGACACGTGCCTTTGAGTGCAGCCTTTAACACAGGGGAAGAAGGACGGGCTAGGAGCAGAAAACACCTGGCAAGACCAGACGGGCAGATCGGGCGGGTAGGTCTTAACACGCGGATCGGGCGGGCGGGCCCAGGCGGCCAGGTCGGGCAGGCGGGTTGTTGAAGCGTGAGTCTTGCGTGAACCGCGAGGAAGTCTCGAGCAATAGCGTGATTCCCAAGTAGATCGTGCGAAAGGCCAAAGCGACAGCGTGATTCCGGAGTGTCGAGGGCTCGGTGCCTGAATGAGTTGCGAGGAAGTCCCACGCGAGAGCGCTCGTCTTGCAGAAGTTGTGGGGACGACCCGCGCGAGAGCGCGATTTTGACATTTTTTGTGAGGAAGTATCAGCCAGGAGCCGTTGTTGTTGCAGCCGAGGGGAGCAACAGCACCGTCTGATCAGGAAGCTTTGCCTTGGTTAAGAGCCCCAAGAGGGAACACGTATAGTCAAACAACATAATGTGCACCAGTGTGGGTTGGGATTACCAGCAGTTCTTTACCAACAACACCACCAACAGCAATCAGTGTAAGACCGTTCTTTAGTTCTTGCTCGCGTGCCACTCAACACATATCCCAAAACCTTGGTACCCGCCCTCTTCGCCTTCGATCGTACCCCCTTTGGGGCAGTCCTTACCTGACACGCGCATGTAGCGCAGCTTTTTTATGTGGTAAAAACCGGGAAGAAGGACGGGCCAGGAACAGAAAACACCTGGCAAGACCAGACGGGCAGATCGGGCGGGTAGGTCTTAACACGCGGGTCGGGCGGGCGGGCCCAGGCGGCCAGGTCGGGCAGGCGGGTTGTTGAAGCGTGAGTCTTGCGTGAACCGCGAGGAAGTCTCGAGCAATAGCGTGATTCCCAAGTAGATCGTGCAAACGGCCAAGGCGATAGCGTGATTCCGGAGTGTCGAGGGCGCGGCGTCTGAATCAGCTGCGAGGAAGTCCCTCGCGAAAGCGCGATTCCTGCAGAAAGTGCGAGCAAGTCCCGCGCAAGATCGCGATGTTGGAATAAATTGAGAAAGCATCATGTGGGAGCCGCTGCTGTTGTAAACCAGGGGCCCACAACGCATTTTGGTGACACCAGGTTCTCACCTATAATACACAGGGTGCGCGCCCAGGGAGAAACACGGCAATTGAAAACTCAGAGTCGCCAGAGGGGGTGATTAAGGCAGAATGTTTTTCTTGAGAAATAATCGGAATTGAACCAACCACAAAAGCAATAGCAATTACAACAACGAGAATTCTAAGACTATTCGCTTGTATGTGCTCGCGTGCCATTTGTTACTTGTATTCCAAAACCTCGATATCCGCCCTCTTCGTCTTCTATCGTGCCCCCTCCACGGGAGTATCTTTCTTACCGGCAGCGTGTACCTAGTCAGAGAGGGCGGGTGGAAGGAAGGGACAAGGGGGAGGTAGGAGGATGGAGCACGAGAGACAGAGAGAGAGTAGCCAGAGGGGGGGTGGGAGCAGAATTCGCGTGGCAAAACCAGACGGGCAGATCGGGCGGGTAGACCCGAACGGGTGTATCGGGAAGGCGGGCCCAGACGGCCAGGTCGGGCAGGCGGGTTGCTCAGACGTGCTTCTTGCGCGAATCGCGAGGAAGTCATGAGCGATGGCGCGATTCTCGCGTAAATCGTAAGGATATCCAAAGCGAGCGCGTGATTCCTGAGTGAGTGCGCGGCGCCTGAATACATCTCGAGGAACTCCCACGCGAGAGCGCGACTCCTGCATTACTTTTAAAGAAGTCCCGTGCGAGAGCACGATTTGGAAATACATTGTGAGGAAGTATCAGGCGGGAGCCGTGTTTGTTGTTGTTGTTGCAAACCGGGGACCAGAGTCGCAGTTTGGTGACAACAAATAAGGCGCGAGCTCCGTTAACATACACTGGTTACCGGCCGGGGGATTCAATAACAACGATTTGATGGAAATATAATTCACCAAAAACAACACATACAACAATAACAACAACAGCAACAACGACAACACCAACAATCACAACAGCCGACCACAACACCAACAACAGCAACCCCAGCAACAGCAACAGCAACAACAGCAACACAAACAACAACATTAACAACACCAGAAACACAACAATAATCCGCACTGCGGAGCTCCGTTTTAGCCACGCACCCATGGACAGTGAATGACCGTTCAGCCCCCTATCTCCGATGTGGCACCCCGCAATTGCGGAATCAGTGAGGGGGGTTGTCGCGGCGTGGGTCGCGGCGTGGGTCGCGAGATTGGCCGCGGGTGGGCCGCGGGTGGGCCGCGGGTGAGTCGTGGGTGGGTCGCGGGTAGGTCGCGTTTGGGTCGCGAGATTGGCCGCGGGTGGGCCGCGGGTGGGTCGCGGGTGGGTCGTGGGTGGGTTGCGGGTGGGTCGCGGGTGGGTCGCGAACGTGTCGTTTCCGGGTCGCGGGCTGGGTCGCGAGTAGGACGACAGCAGCAATCCGCATGTCGGACCCCTTTTCAGCTACGCGCCCAGGGACAACGATTGACCGTTCGGAACCCTCACCCTAAGATTCCTCCGCTAAAATCACCCCCCTGTGTTTGTGTTGGTGCCACCTTCCAGGCCCCCAGGGATTGGGGAAAGAGGAAGGGCGACACGCTGACCACTGCGAACGCGGTGGTCGCTGTTGGCACGGGCCCGAGCACATGTAACCTTGAGATGTCCGCGTGGCTAGCCGCGTTAAGTTCGAGGCCGGCGTGCGGCCTGCAAAAGCGAACGGCCATCGTGCTGTGTGTTGGCGATCGCGCCGTCACAGCGTGGATGTTGGGGTGCACGTGGGCCGCAGCGCGCGGTATGCAGGTGGGACGTGTAGTTGAGGCCCCTCCTGGTGTGGGCGTTGCACTGCGTGCACTTTCTCACCGCCTTGTTCCCGGGCATAAGGGTGCGCCCCCTTTCAGGCGAGGCTCGCACGACGCATGCCCTGTCGGGGCATGGCATGCCGATGCGGCCCCGCGATGGCACACGTAATCGCCACTGCGAAGGCCCTCTGGCCGGTGTTGCTGATCCTGAAGGCGGGACCTCCACCTAGACCCGCTGGCGACCCCCCCGGACCCGCCGGGACTCCAGGGACCGCGGTATTCTCACCGGGGGCCACCCCCCCACCCCCCAAGTTGAGGGAACATTTGGGACTATTTGGGAGCTTTCTGTCTCATTCTCTCTCTCTTTCTCTTTCTCCCTCTGTTCTTTATTTAATGTTTTTTTCTTGTGTCTCTCTCTCTCTCTCGTTATCTTTCTATCTCTTCTAGTCCACAATAAAGGAATCCTTTGGTAAGCCTCCAAGGGAGGAACATTTGTAATCAGGATCTAAAGGATTCCGTTGGTGACGAACGTACAATATGACCGACCCACCAGGGGGTACCGGCCAAACAAGACAAACAACAACAGCAAACAATATAGGCCGCTTGGGATGAAGTTTGTTTGTTCGCGGCTGGCGGCCCCTTTGACCGTTGGGTGTCTCTCTCTCTCTCTGTTTCTGGAGTCCTGTCGTAAACCAAATCACAACGATTCCTTTTATGGCAGACGAACAAGATGGCCGAGGGCCCAGGGGGGGTACCAGCCAGAGAAGAGACACACAACCCACAAACACTAAGAACAAACAAAACGACTGGGACGATGAGTCGTTTTTGGTGTTGTTTCGTGGCTGGCGGCCTCGTAGGCCGAGGGGTCTCTGTCTCTCTGTCTCTGCCTCTCTCTCTCTCTCTTTATCTCTTTTGTTTCTCTCTCTCTCTCTTTCTGTCTCTCTCCTCGTTTCAGTCCCATCTAATCCGCCACAGGAATCCTTGTCATATATATATATAAGCCTCCACGGACAGGAGTCCTTTTGTAATCCGGCTCAAGAGGATGGTTTGCTTGTTATGGCAGACGTGCCCAGGGGTGTACCAGCCAAAACAAGACAAGGAAATCACATCAAGAACACATTTCAAACACACCGCCTGGGACTTTCGGTTGTTTGTTGTTTGTTCGTGCCCGTCGGCCCCGTATGCCCTGGGGGACTGGGCCGCCATCCACAAGACATCCAGACCAAAAAACAGCATCCAACCATTGAGAATCCCTGGCTGGTACCCCCCCATGGTCCCTCGGCCATCTGGTCTAGGCATTCACTGCTATTGGACAGGGGAGGATCGGAGAGGGGAGTCGTTGTTGTCCTATTGCGTTTCTGTCGGAAGAGCGAGGGAGGGCGGAAGAAATTCGTATTGCATTCTTAGTGCATCTTCATCGTATCCAATCGCATGTCTATTGGAGGAGGAGGAGGAGGAGGAGCAGGAGGAGGAGGAGGAGGAGGAGGAGCTTGCGGCCCATTGCCCCACGGCTTACGGGGCCGCCAGCCACGACCGAACATACACAACATGAGAGTCCCAGGCGTTTTCTGTGGGCTGCGGGCTGGTACCCCCTTGAGCCGTCGGCCAATACTGTACGTCTGCCACGCAAGGGATCCTTCATGGCGGATGAGAGTGAGAGAGAGAGAGAGGGAGACCCCACGGCCCACGGGGCTGCCAGGCGTGAGGTATCTACGAGAACATTGCCAGTCACTGGCTGTTGTTGTTGCTTTGTTATGTGTTTTGTTTTGGTTGCTGGTACCCCCCCCCCTGGGCTCTCGGCCATCTTGCACGTCTGCCATCAGAGGAATCCTCTTGAGGTGGATTGCAAGAGGGTCCCTTATGTTGTTGCAAATGGTTTCTTTTCTTTGGTGGTGGATTAGAAAGAGAATGGGATACATATGTATATATATATATATATAAATAGAGAGAGACAGAGAGTGAGAGAGGGAGAGTGGCAGAGGGAGAGAGAGAGCGAGAGAAAGACTCCACAGCCCACGGGGCCGCCAGGCACGAAGCAAACCAAAACAAATGAGAGTGCTATGGTTGTTCTTTCTTTTTGTGTTTCCTGTATTGTTTTGGAAGGCTGATATCCCCCCTGGGTCCTCGGCCATCTCGTACGCCTGCCAAAAATAGGACTCCATGTGAGGCAGATTACATCATTTCCTGTGTGGAGGCTTTAAAAAGGAGGTTCTATTTGTTCGGTTAGAAAGACATAGAGGGAGAGAACCCGACGGCCTACGGGGCCGTCAGCCACATTAACACACTTTTCAACAACCAGAGTCCCAAGCGTGCCCTCCACCACCACCACCCTTACCCCCCCCACACTCGCCCCCCCCCCCAACCTTCCCCCACCCCCGCAGCGAAGGGATATCGGGAAGGGAGCGTACCTAACTACGATGTTCTATTTCTTTGCTCCTCAATTTCCCGGGGACCGACGACGACGACGACGACAGCCGTTCCACACGCCGAAGGGTCGGCGGATGCTGTCAGCGCTCCCGTCTTCGTGTGCGTTCGCTTCAACGTGTCTTCTCGCCCATATCTTGCCCAAGGCTGTCGCCGCGCCGACAGGGGTGCCGCATACAGGCCTGCCATCCCCCGACCAGCAGCGACCACCTTCACGCCCACCGCGCCGCGCGATAATGGCGCCGTTTGCCCCGCGCCGCGCCGAACGTCCCTCGCGACGGCGGCACGCTGCTCACCCCTCACTGTCTTCTTGAGTGTTGGCGGCTTCCAGCGACTCCGTGGCCTCCAGAAGCTCTGGCTTCATCTCGTTTGCGACCACTTGGCGAGATCGGGCTGGACCCGTCCAACGATCGACCGTCTCCGTCGCGAAGAGACTCCAGAGAGCAGCACTGGCGCCTGGGCGCGAAGCGGAGTGAGGCAGATGAGCAGGGAGGAGTGGATTGGGGAAGGGAGGGAGAGCAGAGGGTACTGCCGGTGCTGGATGGAGGTCCCTCCAGAGTTTGGTTCGGCGCGTCCACAACAGCGAGGCTGGTGCCATCCAAGAGCTGGAGCAGAAGCTGCGGGGCGACGAGGAGCCATGCGTGCTCCTCTATAAGCGGTGGGGGGAAGAGAACAACACAGGGAAGGGGGAGGGGGACGTACAGCGGAAGCTGGGAGGTCGGAGAGGGATGGGAGAGAGCAGATTCAGACGAACAAATGCGCACAAGCGCGCTCCCTGAGCGTGCTCCCAGGCGTGGCTGCGTGACTGCGTCGGCGCAGTGATCGTGGCCCACCCTGCTTGGCCTGAGTCGGCTGCTTTCTCTTGTCACCGGGTCTGACGGCAGCTCCCCGCACGTGCGCGGCCCAGAGTCGGGGGGTCTCCCAGGTGTTGCGTTGTTGTTCCAGGCACGGGCGCGCCCCATACCCGCATGCACGGGGCGCGCCCAGGCGCGCTCCGGGGCCGCGGCGCTCCCCAGGCTAGAGGCAGGAGGAGCAGGAGGAGGAGGAGGAGGAGGAGGAGGAGGAGGAGGAGAAGGAGGAGGAGGAGGAGGAGGAGGAGGAGGATGAGGAGGAGGAGCAGGAGAGGCAGGAGGAGCAGGAGGAGGATCCGGATCAGCGCCGGCTGGGAGGAATCGGCTCAGAGGGGGGGGAATGCATCGACCTCCAGGCGCCCGATAGCCACCCCCGCCCAGGCGCGTGCGTATTCGCCATGGGGGGCCCGGTGCCGATCGATCGGCGATGTGTTGCCGATTTCAGTTCGATGTCTCCCCCCCCTCGCAGCCAGTCCCTCCTGCCGAAGCAGGAATCGGGAGGAGGATGAGGAGGAGGAGGAGGAGCAGGAGGAGGAGGAGGAGGAGGAGGAGGAGGAGGAGGGGAGGAGGAGGAGGAGAAGGGGGAGGAGGAGGAGCAGGAGCAGGAGCAGGAGCAGGAGATGGAGGAATCCGCGGGTCGGCGGCTCGCGCGCCAGGAGCTCTGCGTCAGGGTCGGCCTCAGCCCAGACGGCGTCACCGCCGCCCTGGTGGAGATGCTGGCGGACCCCGCGAGACGCGAGGAGCCCCCGAGGGGCAGCGCGCGCTCACGGAGGCCGGGGCGCCACGGTCTCGGCCGAAGGAGGAGGGGGGTCGAGGCATCGAGGTTTGAGCAGGGCTGGCATGGTCGGGTGGTCGCCGATAGGGGAGAGGGGGATCGAGGATCGAGGAGGATGCTGATCCTCTCGATGCGAGGGATCATACTACTGACTATGTCAGTGATGCTGATGTTGCTGCTGATGATGGTGACAGGAATGATGACGATGCTGGCGACGATGGTAACGATGCTTATGATGATGTTGTTGATGCTGATGATGCTGATCATGATTATGATCATGATGATGATGATCATGATGATGGCGGTGATGATGCTGATGGTAATGATGATGACGACGCTGGTGATGATCATCATGATGATCCTGATGATGATGATGAGGAGGAGGAGGAGGAAGGCGATGACGACGACGAGAATGTGGGTGTTGATGATGTTGGTGATGCTGATGATGCAGCTGATAATGATGATGCTGATGCTGTTGATGCTGATTATGATGATGGCGATGGTGGTGTTGCTGATGATGATGATGATGATGATGATGATGATCATGATCATGATCATGATCATGATCATGATCATGATCATGATGATGATGATGCTGATGATGATGATGATGCTGATGATGATGATGATGGTGATGGTGGTGGTGATGATGATGATGGTGGTGGTGGTGAGGATGATTTTGAGATTGATGCTGAGGACGATGCATATGATGGTGGTGGTGAGAACGACATTGACGATGGTGATGTCGACGATGAGGATGATGAAGACAATGATGACGATGATGATGTTGATGATGCTGATGATGATGCTGATCATGCTGATGATGAGGAGGATGAGGTGAGGATGAGGATGCTGATGATGCTTCTGCTGCTGCTGCTGATGATGATGATGGTGACTGCGGTGGTGGTGGTGGTGAGGATGATGTTGTTTTAGATGTTGTTGTTGATGATGATGATGGTGATGACGCTAATGCTGATGATGACGATGATGATGAGGGTGATGAGGGTGATTATGACGTTGCTGCTGATGATGATGATGATACTTATAATGATACTGATGATGATGATGATGACGATGATTATGCAGATGATGATGGTGATGGTGATGATGATTATGCTCCTGATGATCATGCTGTTGATGCTGATGGCGAATATGATACTGCTGCTGCGGCTACTGCTGATGATGATTATGGTGATTATGCCGATGATAGTAATCATGCTCATGACCATGATAACGATGCTGCTCCTGACGCTGAGCAAAACCAGGATGATGACTGCGGTGGTGGTGATGATTGACATGCTGCTGCTGATGATGATGATGAGGAGGAGGAGGAGGGGGGGGAGGAGGAGGAGGAGGAGGAGGAGGGAGGGAATCTAGGAGGAGGGCGTGCAAGGATGGGGAGTACTGCCGCGGCGTTTGGGACCCTTAGGGCAGGCGGCCCGCAGGGGTACGTGGCTGGCCCCGGTTCCCATCCAAAGCCCCTGCGTCCGCCAGGCGTGTTTGAGTGTTGCGTGTGTGTGTGTGTGTGTGTGTGTGTGTGTGTGTGTGTCTCGGCTGATGCTTCCGCCTTCCGCTGCGCCTTCCTTGCTGCCTCGGCGTGTCTCTGCTGCACTGCGCCTCCACGTCCTCGTTTCCCCCTCTCGCCCCGTTGTCCCTCTCCTTCGTCCCTCCCCACGCGGCTGCCCCCCCCCCCTCCCCCCCCCGCGAGTGTTTTAGTCATCCATGACGGTTGGATTAAGCTTCTGCACGCCGCGTGAGTTGGGCTGGCTTTTGCGTTCCCGCCTGTCCTGACCTACGCCGTGCCGCCGCGCGCGTGGCCGCGACGCCACAAAAGTGTGTGTGTGTGTGTGTTTGTGTGTTCGTGTGTGTGCGTGTTTTGCGGGCTTGTGTGCGTGGTTTACACGGCCTCGCTGGCTCAGGGTGCAAGTCCTGGGAGGTTTAATTCAGCATCGGCGCTGGTATCTCCATGCCATGGCTGAAAACCGACCTAATCCGTGACATCAACCCTGCCAGTCCAGCTGGAGCGGGCTCACTCGTGGGCTCACTCTGGATCCATTCAGTTCAATGGCACCTTGATTGTCTTTCATGGTGCTTCGTCGTTCTTACGAAGACCTCCTAGGAGATGCCCCCTGCCACTGAAATGGAGTGATTTGCGCCTTGTCAGATGTGTCCTTGCCCGCCGACGGTCCGAATCCAGTTTCAGTTGCAGCTTTTCATTAATAATCCGGAAAGTGATGGTTCGCAAACGTGCCAAGGCAAGATCATGTCCCCCAGTTTCAAGGGGGTCCATTCCATTCGTGAGTCGGCTCCATGCGAGCAGCTGCGCGCAGTGGCCAAGTCGTTCTTCCGGGAGCGTTGGCGTGAACAGCATAGAGCGGTGTGTGCGCGACTGAGCATAGACCAGCGCGGGCATGCCACGGCAGTGGGGGGGGCATTTCTCATGCGTTGACAAGGAGGCAGAGAGGTGTAATGAGCAGGCAGTGATGGGCCAATTCCCCACGACCACCACTACCATAGGTAGGACGGGGGAGAAGGGAGGATGGGGAGGTCCTGCCCCTCCTTCTCCTCCTCCTCCTCCTCCTCCTCCTCCTCCTCCTCCTCCTCCTACCTGTGGCAGTGGTGGTGGAGAAGTCGGCCCATCAGGAAGCCCTGAATCTGCTGGTGGTCATCTCCGACGGCGCGGTCGGACTGCGCAGGCGGCGCCGCCTCGGCTCGGCTCTCTCTCCCTCTCTCTCTCAAAGGGCCGGGGTCGAGCTGCCGGTGGCTGGCCGGTGTCAGGGGAACAAAGAGCCTGTTTTTTTTGGATTCAGGCAAGATTACTTGAATGGCGTTCGCTCGCTCCCCCCCCCCCCCACGCCCCTCTTCAAGCGAATACTAGCGTGCAGCGCCCATCTTCAAGCGAATACCAGCGTGCAAGTGCCTTTCGACTTGCGTGATTTCCGCGCCCCCCCCCGAACGTGCAAGTCGTTTGCGGCTTGCTTCAGGCTCAGACCCCCCCCCCGTCCATGCAAGTAAACTTGCCAGAGTCTACAAAAACAGGCTCAACGTGACATGAACATAAAAACTCGGAGGTCCGCGCGGATTTCTCGGATCGGCGCTGGGGCCCTCCGGCGGGGCCTCCAGCGCCGCCCCTGGCGCGCGGAGCGCGCCAGGGAGGGGGCTCCAGCGCCGATCCGAGAAATCCGCGCGGACCTCCGAGTTTTTATGTGTACGTCATGTTTCGTTCCCCTAACTGGGTAGTCGAAGGCCAGACTGTCAGATTGGCTTGGGCCCCAAGGGCCAATCTGGCCCGGCCAAACTGGATGATTTGGGTTATTCGCCAGACTGGATTCGCGTTGGCTCCCTCGCCAGATTGCCCCCGTTTGCCAGATTGGGCCTGCCAGATTGGCGCCAGATTGGCTTCGACTACCCAGCCTAAGTGTCCTGCAGGGCCTGCAGCTCCTCCTCGCTTCGCGCTCTGGGCCCTGGCGAGCTCGCTTCGCGGGGCCGACTCCCACCTCTCGCAGAGAGACCTGCATCCCGTGCCCACCTGTGTCTTCCTGCCGGTGATCCGCCATTCGCCACGGCGCCTCTCTGCGACCGGCGTGCCCTTGCACGCGCGCTCGGCCTCCGCATGTCTTCCAGGAGTAGGCAGGAGGAGGCGTCTGCATGTCGCCCGCGCCCTCAGCTGCATGGTCGTGTGTCCTGTACGTGTCTTGCGGCCGAACGTGCCCTGTGTATTGCAGCACGGGTGTGGGCGTGGGCAAGTTGGCCAGGTGGATTTCTTTGTGAAGGTTCCTGTCATGCAGGGCCTCCGCCCGAAGAAGGAACGAGCTGCCGACGGTGCTCACTTGACGCTGTCTGGTAAGGCGGCCGAAGGCACCTGCGCAACAGTCAGGAGTAACAGGTCGTCTGGCGGCCTCCGTGCATACACGAACAGTTAGGCGATATGCCATCGTAGGTTTCAACCATCGTGCTATCAACTGGCGTACGCGAGTCCACGCTTGTGGTCTTCGGCTGCCTCCCCAAAGAGTGGCTGCAGCCCGGGCAGACGGGTTGCGTTCTCGCCCTTGTGCTTCAACACGTGCTTCGCCTGGGCACACGTCCTGCGATCCCCGACGCTGCGCGCCGGCAACAGTCGAATCAGATCAAGTGCATAGACATGAATTTTTCGGAGCTCTGCAAGGATGTCTCGACCGGCGCTGTGCACCCCTGGCGGCGCATTCTGCGCCTGCCCTGGCGCGATCCGTGTGCCATGGAGTGGGATCCAGCTCCGATGCAGCGCAGATCCAGAAAATCCGGGTGGGGCTCCGAGAACTTATCGTTGCCCCTCCAGCCAACAGCCCCAGTTGTCGCTGACCTTTCACTGCGGCGCCCACTGGTGTTCGACGCCGCCACGGGCCCCTGTCATGTGGCCCCCGCTCAACTGCGCTTCGCTGCCCGCCACAGGCCCTGTCTTGGCAATTGGCCCGGCTTAGCCCGCACCTGCCAAGCGTGGACGCCACGGGCCCTAGCAAGCGCCCACGCCCCAGCGTTGCAATTTGATGTGTCGTTTTCCAGAGTGCGATTTTCGCGCCTCATCGTCGAGCAGCCCCACCGTTGCGGGCCACCCCTCGGTTAGTCTGTTATCGTGTGGTTCCTGTTTAGAAGCGAGGGTTATCACAAGCTGGATAAGTTTGGTTGCCTCTTTTTGCCTGCAGCGTTGGTGGACGTTGCTTGCGGTACGTGCGCCGTTTCAGGAGCTAGCACATTGCCTCCCACAACAGTTCATATGTGGTTCTCCACAGGTTCGTCCCTATCTTTTCGGCCAATCATTGGCCAATGGCGTGAGCAAGGGGCTCAAGGTATGCGAGGGGGTTGGAGCTGCTCTCGTATTAGGGGAACAAGCAATGACATACCGGATTTCTCAGATCGGCGATGAATCCCCCTCCCTGGCGCGCGAAGCGCGACAGGGGCGGCGTCCATAGGCGCCGCCAGGAGGCCCCAGCGAGGATTAGAGTAATCTGCGCGGACCTCCGAGTTCCCATGTCTACGTAATTGTTTGTTTCTCTACGTATACCCTCAGAGATGTCTACATCTGTGCCAGTCATCCCAGTAGGGAGTGGCAGTTTCCAAAATCTGTTCGGAAAACACAACCAAATCCCCTTTGATCGGGGGGTTAGAGGGTGTGTGTGTGTGTGTTCCTCGGACCCTTCCACCCACCCCTCTCAGACTGGTTCTTAGTGGTTTAGGTAGGCGGTCTCGACGCTTCCTGGAGCTTCCGAACGCCTCGGGGACGCTTGGGGAGGGGCCTCGTCTAGCAGAGGGTGGCGCACGGCAGAGGGGCACGTCTAGTACCAAGGGGGCGTTTTTGGAATCAGCTTGGGGAGGGGCCTCGCCTAGCAGCGGGCGGCGCACAGCAGAGTGGCATGGCTTGTGCCAAGGATGCTTTTGTGAATCAGCAGAGGTTCTTCGGCGGGTTAGGGAGCGCGAGGTTGGAGGCCCCCCGACGCTCTCGGAGGCACCTGGAAGCCCCCAGGGGCACCCAAGGCTTCCGGGAGCCTTCAGGGGCTCCCCGGAGCGCTCGGAGGCTCCCAGCGGTCCTCCGCGGACCAGGCTCTGTTGCGCCCGCTCCTTCCTGGCGCGGGGCGCCCGCGCGGCGCAGCCTCGGGACGCCCGCCCACCGTTCCAGGGGCCGCCCGCGAGCGGGCGCGGGGCGCCGGGCGCGGCGACGCGCACGGGAGGCCCTCCCCCTCGCGCACGGGGCGCCCCGCGGGGGCACCCGCGAGAGAGAGCACCGGGGCGCCGGCGAGGCGGAGCCTCGGTGCAGAGCTCCCCAGCGTGCAGCCTCGGTGCTGACCCCTGGGCAGCACGACGCCGACCCGGCGGACAGCGAAAGCGGTGGAGTGACGACATCTCAGAGGTTTTGCAGAAGGCTTTGGTTGGAAGCACGCCAGGCACACGGCTACAGAGTGCCACAACTTCCAAATTCTGGGCGGACCTCGAGAGCGACTTCTTGAAGTTCACATGCCTGTGACCGGGCTCGGGTCCGCCCGCGCCGCCCCTAAGGGGCCTGCCGGCCCGCTGGCCGGCGGACTCGCGCGTCTGCGTCTGCGTCCCCGGCGTGCGGGGCGCCCGGCGGGCGTCCACGAGCGGGCACGGGCAACAGCGAGGCCAAGCCTCGGTCGGGAAATACCTACCCCTAAGTCGGGGTGTCATTCTGCAGGAGGAATATTCAAGAATCGCGATGTTTGATGATTTGTTGATCCTTTTCTGAATATTTGTGTGACTCTGTTTGATTTTTCCTCCAGGATGCCTCTGAGGCCCGACCTAAACCTACCCAGCCCACGGGGCGCCCATCATCGCATGCCTAGAGGTTGACACCAACACCAAGCTCGGCGGTGTGCCTCCACCGGGGGAAAACGATCCCGATCTCGGCGATGGTGGTAATATTCGGGTTTCCAAGGTGACCGGAATATATCCACCAACGCCGAATTTTAGGATCATCTTCCCCATGTGGAGGCAACCCCCTGTGCTGGTGCTGGTGCCAATTTCCAGGCCTCCAACATCAGGCGCCCACGAGCGGGTGCGGGTGCCAGCGTGGTGAGCCCGGGAATCCCATCCATGTTTCTAAGAAAGTAAGCCACGTGAGCTGCCTCGAAGTGCTGGCACGGTTTGGTGAGAATGCCCCGTGTAAACGCGGGCAAATGGGAGGTCTGGGGGCCCGCTGCCCCGCTCGTCGACCAAAGCCGAGGCGGCCGCAGCCGTCTGCGGCTTCGGAGATGACCCGGTCAATGACCGGGTCTCTTGGGGCCTCGCGGGGAACACTGCTTGGCTAGCCCCGACATTGCCCTGGCACGGCTCCCGTGCCGCGCCCATGCGCAAGACGAGTTCGGAGAGCTTGCCGTCCTCTGGCTCCCAGCAGCTCCCTGTAAGCAGCGGCCAGCCATCTTCTCCGAGCGCTGAGACCCTTTTTTTTTTGCCTTTGGGGAAGGCCCGTCCCCTTTTGCCTTCGTCTCAGGCGGGGCCAGGACGGGGACGAAGTGTTCCAGAGCGTTCCGGATCGCTCGGAGAGCTTGCCAGAGTTTGCTTCGGGCGTTGCTAGAAGTGCCCCTGGCCCACGGTGTCCCCAGCTTTTCTCTCCGTCGTGGAGCCCCTGGAGCCCCCTGGGCCTCGTGAGGGGTGCCCTGGAGGCCGCCTGGGCCACCCTGAGAATCCTGGGGGCACCTTGGGCCAAGGGAACTTTTTGCAACACCCAATGTTGTAGCGGCACGCGGCGCACGATGCACCCCGCAGAACCGCGGGGCCTCAGAGACCCCCGGTGTGTCCCGCTCCGACTTGGTCCCGGCCCCGATGCCGCTTCAGGGGTAGGCTCACGGCGGCGGCCGCCCCCATGCTCCGAGGCGGGAATTTATGCATCACCGTCGCCTGGAGGATCAAGTCTTGGGGGGACCTCGCAGGCGGTGGATATGGATTTATTCGGGCCCCCAGGGGCCAACATATATCCATATCCACCGCCCGCACGGGCATCAGGAAGTAGTTTCCCAGGTGGTGGATATGGATAAATCCCCGCCTCGCACATGCCTCGTCGGAGTCTGCGGCCAGAGTGGTCGGCGGCACACCCGGCGGGGCAGGCCCTTTGGGGCGGGCCTTTGCGGAGCGCACAGGAGGCTTCGGCCCGCCGCCGAGGAGTTTCTGGAGCCGTATCGTCTCCGAGGCCACCGAAGGCTCCGCAGAATGCCAGAGGGCTTCTGAGGCGGAGGGGGGAGAAACAACGCCGGCACCCCGAGGGGGGCCACCTTTGCGAAGGAGGTCCACGGTGCATCCCCGAACCGCAAGTCGGGGATGTCTCGGGCGGCAGGGCGGGGGACCCACCACCAGGGCGACCCCTCTCGCTCCTCGCATATTCTCGCCCTGGTGGTGTTGGCGCCGCCTGGTCCTGGCCCCTATCTGAGGTGCCCCGCCGCCCTCCGAAATTGCTGCAGCTGTCAAGTTTCAGGATCATAAGGGGCGAGGGAAGTATCGAGCGAAACGCCCTGCCAGCCCCACCAACACGTCCGAGCGAGCGGCAGGGGCGGAGAGGGAAGTGGGCAGAAAAAGAGGGGGGAGGAAGAGGATAATAGACCGGGATAAACCTCAGACGCATGAGCGATGTTGCGGGAACTGCCCCATCGGAAACCAAACGTATGATAATCCTCAATTACGCCAAAGCGCAATTCCTGAGACATCAACGTGGCGGGTCAACGTGTTACGTCTTGACATTACTAAGCCGTGCAAAACCGTTCTTGGGACTTCAACCCCGCGAATCAACATATTTTTTGCGTTTTGGCGATCTGGCGAATTCTGGGATGTCCGGAGACTTCCATCATTCCTGGGACTTCCACCTGGCGAGTCCTTGAATGTGCTGCAAGATTTCAAGAAGGATAAGCGCGGCGCCAAGGCGAGAGCCAAGCTAAAAAACGCCGTTGCTCATAAGTGAACTTGCTGAGAATTTAAGGCGAACGTTGTCGGCGTCTAGGCGAGAGCATCATTTTGAAAACGACCCGCCCTCCATCCGTGAAGCTATCGCGAACTTTTGAGACGAATGTGCGCGGCGCCGGGGCGAGATCCACATTTTGCAAACGGCCCGCTCGCCGTACCGCTGCACAATCTGAAAAAAACACGCGCGAGGCGCATAGGCGAGAGCCACACTGTGCAACCGGCCCGCCCTCCATTTGTGCATGTGCTGCCGATCTCAAGAATGGTCAGGAAGTCTTCGGCGAGACGCGCGGCCCGTCCCACCGACACGTCCTGGCGGTGCGACAGGGAGGAACTGTTCACACGGAGGAAGGATGGCGTACCCATCGGTCGTTGAAAGTAGATATTTCTGGATTCCCTGGCTCCAGTCTACTTTAAGCGCCTTCCTTCTTCAAGGATCGAGTGGCGTAACCTTTTCCGTCCTGTGCAAGGGGCGGGCGGACACCCAATAATTGTTCAACGCCTCCTTGCTTCATGTTTCTACCTATTTCTTCTGACCGATGGGCAAGCAGGATCGAGACGGCCTGCCCCTCTTTCCCCCCCCCCCCCCCTCGGCGCACCTCCACTCTTCCGATCATGGCACCCTCTCCCCTGCCCGCCGTCCCGCGCCGCCCAAGCCCATGCAAACGGGGCGTTCGTAAACGCGGCGGTAGCCACGGGCCCTCTTCAAGCGAGAACGGGGTGATAGGATATTTACCCCGCACTGTTGCGTGATAATTCGGGACGGCATCAGCGTCGATACATCATCATACTGAACTCTGTGTGTGTATGTGTGTGTGTGTGTGTGTCGGGGGGGGGGCTACCTGGCACTCGTGCGTGGCACGCACGGCAGTCTTTGGTGAAAACACCATTGGAAACGCACTCTCTTGGCTACCAGCCCGTGTACCTAACGCCCCCCCGTTCGCAAGGGCCGGGAGGAAGAGGAGGAGGAGGAGGAGGAGGAGGAGGAGGAGGAGGAGGAGAAGGAGGAAGCGAAAACGGAGAAGGAAGAGGAGAAGGGCGAGGAGGAGGAAGAGGAGGAGACGGAGGAGGATGATGAGGAGAAATAGGAGAAGGAGAAGCACCAATGGAAACGCACTCTTGGCTACCGGCCCGTTTCCCAACGCCACCCCCGTTGGCAAGGGCCCGGGGCCGCCGCCGCGCCCCCCCCCCTTTGGGAGGCACGACGTGGGCGGCGCCATCGTCGCGGCCGGCGCGGTGGAGCCCCTGGTGAGGCCGCCTGGGGGGCGGGCGTCGGGGCCCGGGTCGGAGGGGCTCGACGTGTGTCGGCCACAAGCAGAGGGGGGTGGGGGGGGGGGGAGGGCTTCTCAGAAGCACCCCTGCTTCTTAGAAGGCGCGGGCCTTATCTACAGATGTAAGGCGGCGCCTTCTAAGAAGCAGCCTGCTTCTAAGAGGCCCTCCCCCCTCCCCCCACCCCCCTGTGCGCGCCGCCAAGTGTGCACCTCGGGGGCGGAAGAGAGGGGAGTGATGACTAGGGGGGGTGGATATCGTGGCGTGGGCCATGATCTTTCCCCAGATTTCAAGGCGCCTCTTCTTATTTCATTGCGTCCCTGGCCCCCCCGCTGGGCCGCGCACATGCCGATGGTCATGATTTGCACCCCCCTCTATTGGACACCCCCCTCTATTGGCTGCTCCCGAGTACCCCACGCCAGTTCGTCGGCCAAGGAGCCACGGGCTTCGGCGAGGGGGGCCGGTGCAGAGTCAGCACCCCTCGTGAGGATGCGCCGCCTCGTCGAGGCTGCTCTTGCATCCCATCCCTGGTTCTTCGTTGGCCCCTCCGAGGCCTGCTCTGGCGCCCCAGGGAGCTCTCAATGGCAGATGGGATTCTTCCAAGGGTCCTGCATCCTTGCCGTAGACGCTTCAGCTCCCGAAAGAGCTTGGGAAGCCGGGTCGTCTGCACAGCGCGCTCCTTGGCCGACCACACGACTCGGTGCATGCCGCGAGCCCATTCCAGAGGCGGGGCAAAAGGTTTCTCAGGGATGTGGTCCTTAAGTGCGATTGGAACAACTCTGAGGTTGATAAACGTCCTGCCCTGACACGTCGATCAGCGAATTGGCCGTTTTCGGTTCGCGAGAGGGTGTTGCGGCCGTCATTCTTGCGGGTCCAGGTCCGTCTGCTTCGGTTTTTGAAAGGGAGGTTTGTCCACCGCCAGACAACATGTAGTTCTCGTTGCACACGCACGGTCGATGTGCTGAGACAGGGACACGGTTCGGCCCAGGAGGGGCCGCTCTCGCGGTCGCTCCTCAGCTGCAGGCTGGGGCACCTGCCGGTGGCCCGGGCTCGCCGTGGCAAGAAGAGGCTCTCCGTGCCCAGGCTCCCGGTCGCCCGCCTCGCCCCGCAGCACCCGCCCGCCCGGCCCGCAGCCGCTCGGCCCCCCCGCCCCGCGCGCGCCGGGCGCCGCCTGCCCCCCGCCAGGCTGCTCGAGGAGGGGAGCGCCGGCCTGCAGGAGTCCGCGGCCGCGGTCCCCTCGGGGGGCAGGGGCTGCTCCCTCGGGCCCTCCTCTTCCTCCGCCGCCCTCGCTGCCTCCTCCTCTCTGGCTCCCGCCTCCCTCCTCCTGAGGCTCCCTCCTCCCTCCTCTGGATGCTGGTGGATGCCTGGTGGCTTTCTGCCCGTCCTCCTCCGCGAGAGTGGCTCCTGCCACGTCTTCTCCTGCTGGTCCTGGTCGGCCTCCCGCCTTCCCAGCAGGCGAGCGAGGTCAGCGCTCGAACTTCACAAGGTTGGGCTGCTTTGCCACGGTGGATGGTAAAACCCCTTCTCCTTCTGACTGTCGACCAACGTCATTTAGTTAGCGAGTGCACTGACTTATCCAGGAAGGGGCTCTCAGATTTACATGAGATCGCCAAGGGCCCACTTACCTGGTCGCAGAGCGGTAGCTTCAGGTCTCGAGGTTGCCACCAGCACCATCCGGCGCGAGCGCGCTCGTCGCGCCGTGGTGCCAGGGCAGCGCCGATCCTCCCAGGCTCTGGGCTGTGCCTTTGCAAAGCGCCCAAGGCGCCCTCCTCCTCCGCCTCCTCCTCCTCCTCCGCCTCCTCCTCCTCCTCCACCCTCCTCCCCCTCCTCCCTCCTCCCCTTCCTCCCTCCTTCCTCCCTCCTTCCTCCTCCTCCTCCTCCTCCTCCGATTGCTCATGTTGGGGTGGGGAGGGCGGCGGAGATTGCTCGAGAGGAGGCCCGCAGCCCGGGAGTCGACCCAGCGGACTCCTGGGGACGCGACGGCTGCACTGGTCGGAGGCGAGGGCAGACGGCGGGCTCCAGAGTTGTCGCTGGAGGCGGACAGCAAGAGCGCGGAGAGGGAGCAGAGAGAGAGGTCGCAGGCCTAAAGGTTGACACCAGCACCAATGTCGGCGGTGTGCTTGGTGGAAGAAGATCCCGATCTCGGTGATGGTGGTACTATACTGGCTTTCAAGGTGACCGACATATTACCACCAGCACCGACATCTAGGATCATCTTCCCACTGTGGAGGCAACCCCCTGTGTTGGTGTTGGTGCCCATTTCCAGGCCTCCAAAGAGAGAGTTCCCCTCCCAAGTCTCGCCTATGCCTCCTGCTCGACGAGGCCCCCGAGTCCCTCCAACGACATACGGCAAGAAGCGGAGATACAGGCGGGTGTGCCTGCAGCCTGTGCGCTGCGGGTGCACGGAAGAGTTTTGTATGACGGCAAGGTCCTCATTGGGTGTTCGGGGTTTTGTGTGAGACGTTCAATTGCACCCGCCGCATGTGATGAGATGATGGCCTAAGTATTTGCTCCATTCTGGTTCAGACACCTGATTGAGCAGTGCCCCGGCAAGAATTCGAAATGGGGAATTTGCCGATACGTACGTAAGAAGGGCTCTATCCAGGCAGGGAGGGGGCCCCGAGCTCGAAGCTGGTGGCCCTGCGAGTCTGGTGAGGCTGCCGCGTCGGAGAGCATGAAGCTAGACGCCTCCTAGATGGGGTCGGAGTAGACATGTATCGGCGATGTATCGGCGATGCACCGGCGATGTATCGTCGACGTCGGCGATGTATCGGCGACGTCGACGTGAAGCAAATCGGGCTGCACATCGAGCCGCATCGGCGATGCATCGGCGATGTGGCGCGATCCTACGACCCCACTCACTCGGACCCCATCCGGGAGGCCTCGAGAAGCGCCAACGCAGCGACAGGCACCCGCCCCAAGGCAGGCAGTCACCCGAGGCGTTTGGCGAAAGCTCGGATAGAGAAAGGTGAGTCAAGAGGGGAAAGAACACACAGGCACAATGAACCGTCGACCCCCAGGAAAATATGGGAGAACATGGAAAGTGGGGGGAAGACGAAAACCCAGGGAATGTACGAAAATGTGGGGGATCTTGTTATTTGTGTCTGTTTATTTGTGTGGCCTAGGGCCCCTTCAAAGAGCAAGAGCTGGGTGGGCAGTGTCCGAACGCGGACTCTGCCGAAGGGAACGCGGCGGACTGGCTTGTCGAAAGAAGAGCGCCAGCCAGGCCGACACCTGCGGCCAGAGCCGGCGAGGCGGCCTGCGGGTGATGCTGCCGGTTGGCTTCGGCTCTCGGCAGGGATTACTCGTGAGTCTGCACCAACTTGCCGGGAGGATTCCGCCGCACCTCAGCGGCCCCGCGCAACATGTTCATGGGTGAGGCTGCTGCCAGCGTGGTGCCGAACATATGTTGGGACGGTCCAGAGGCATTGACTGCCAAGATCAATCGCCAGGATTGGAAATCAGGGTTTCATGTGAGGCACCCATAAGGCGATTTGCGGGCAGTATCCTCCCACAGGGGATCGATACGGATCATCGCCACAACAGTTTGTTATCTCGAGGGCGTGACCCTCTGTGCACTTGTCACTTGGAAGATTGCCTGGGATTCTCGTTCGCACGAGTGGCCCCATGTTTGACATACCAACGAACCACATACCACCCCATGGGCTATGCTCTACGCGCGCGTTGCCCCTGCAGACCCAGGATGTTCTGAACGGTTTCTTTGCTGTGCCAGGGAGAGCCGTATTCAGGCGCGTGCCTCGGGACTCTGGGGCGGCGCCGTTGCTAAGGGGTACGGTGCGCAAATTCTGGCAGAGGGCGATGCGCACAGAGTCGCCGCACGCGTTCCCCGTCCTTCTTTGCTTAGTCGTCCTTCTCGTGGTCGTCCTGCGCACGCTTAATTTTGATCGTCATAGCTTTCCACTGCTTCTACGTCATCCTTGTACCACTCCCACCTTCTATTGCCCCTCTACATCACACCCTTCCCGACATCCTCACCTTGCGCCTCCCTCCTCGTTCTCGTCCTACACCCATCTGGAAACGCAGTGCAATGTTTGCCGACGGTGTCACAGAATCGTCCCAGGGACTTCCCTGGAGGTAGTTTCTCGTCCAGGGTCCGTTTCTGACGGTCCCGGGTCCGACACTGGTTTTTGGAGGACCACAACGACGAAAAGCCGAAGTCGACGAAAACAAAGAAGTCGACGGTCAAAGCTTGATTCTATTTCCAGGGCAGTGCACTCCGCCTCTTTCTCCACATCATTGACCGCATTTCCTTCTTAGCATCCGTGTCCTCGTCTCTCTGGTCTTTCCGAGCATGTTTCTGCTGCCTCTGCTCCCCCAGTATCTTCCCCCGCCGTCGCTTCCACATCTGCCTCGTCGTCATCCTGCTCTCTTCATCTCCACCCCTCCCCCTTGATATCCTCCCCCACCACCTTGTCATTTGCTCCATCCGTTCCCCTCCTTCCTCCCATCCCTCCTCCTGCTCCTGCTGCTGCTCCTACTCCTCTCTTCTTAGATTTCCACCCGAACAGCTTCTATCCGAGCTGGATCCTCCCCTTGGCATCGAACTAATGGAGGCTGGAGGAGGCAGGGGATTCAGGTGGAGGACGCCCAGTGTGAACGTGCACAGCACATTCCCCAGACTTGCCCAGACACATTCGCCAGGACACGCTTTTCAGATGGGGCCCGGCGAGGGCCCCAAGGGGCCGAAAGCTGTGAACCAAAAACTCCTGTCCTGATTCGTTTTGCGGCGCGAGGGTTGTCTGGGAAGCCTGGGGGTAGGGGGTCGACGCTTCCCCTGCCGGACCCCCCCCCCCCCACCCCAGACTTCCGATGGACTGTCTCTCCCTCGGGGCAGCTCCTCGTCCCCGGACCCAGAGGCCGCCTCCAGAGGCGGCCGGGAGCGCCCCAGGCCTCCCCCACGGGGCCCGAGAGGAGGGGAGGGCGGGAGGGCCGCGCCGCGGCGCCGAGGCAGCGGCGGTGCGGCTGGATGTGGAGGAGGGGTCGTGCTCTTATGTGCTTTGTCCTGCGTGTGGGCGCGGGCCAGGGATGGACCGAGGAGGCCATGGATGCTTAAGGGTACTCTGCTTGGCATCGCTCAGACGTGTACATGTTTCCTTCGGCGAGGACCACCGAGGAGCATCCTTGATCCTTTGGCGAAAAAACCACGCACGAAACCGAAAAACCACAGGGAATGGACGTCCGAGAGATGGCGAGTCTGGGTTTCTTCATAAACGGGGGGGGTAGGTACCTCCCCGACGGGGGTCAATCCCGCCTCGTCGCCGCGCCGCGACGGGAAGGTCGGAGCGCCTTCGGCGCGCGGTGGCTGCCCGCGACCGGGATCGATGTGGGGCCGTCAGCGGGGGTGGCGACCCCCCCCTGGAGGAGATCTTGGCTGTTCTTGGCGCCCGCTTCGAGCAGATGGAATCCCCCCCGCAGGACGCGCTGCTGCAGAAGCAGTCGCACTCGGCAGAGGTCGGGAGCCAGACCGCCCCCCCCCCCCACCCCGTCCGCTCAATGCAGATGCGCCGAACACAGTCCACCCGCATAGCAAGGAGATGCATCCTTCCCAAGGATACCCCGAGTTTCTTGATAAGCGTCGGGGGGGGCGCCCCCCCCGCTGACGGCCCCACATCGACCCCCGTCGCGGGCAGCCACCGCGCGCCGAAGGCGCTCCGACCCCCGTCGCGGCGCGGCGACGAGGCGGGGTTGACCCCCGTCGGCGAGGTATCTAGGGGTTGACCCCCGTCGGCGAGGTACCCTCCCCCCTCCCGTTGATGAAGAACCCCAGAGTGCCCTCAAAGCATCCCTTGGCCTCCTCGGTCCACCCTTGGCCGCCCTCGCGGGCCGCGCCCCGCTCGCAGCGTGCCGCGGCGGCCTCCCGGGGCCCGTGCGCCAGTCCTCGGTCGGGGGCAGCCCGCTCGTGGCCGCGGCGCGCCCCGCGGGCGGCCCCTCGCGCTCCCCACGGCAGCTGCTCGATTGGCGCGCCTTCTTCGGCGCGCCCTCGTCGGCGCGCCTCGCCCGGCGCTCCTCCTTTCGGCGCGCCCTTCGCTCCTCATTTCGGCGCGCCCGCCCTTCCCCCCCCTCTCGGCGCTGGCGGAGGGGGCGCAGGTCCTCGGCAACGTCAGCCACGAGAGCCCGCCCAGCCAGGGCGCCGTGGCCGCCGCCGCCCCGGTGTTCGAGCGGCTGGTGCGGCTGCTCGACGCGGCCGACGCCGGGCCGGCCCAGGAGGCGGGCGCGGTGTTCGAGCGGCGACGGGGCGTCTTGGTCTGCCTAGAGGCCCAACAGCACATGTTCGATGAGCTATGGTGGTCTGCACGAGGGTTTCTTCGAGGATTCGAGGCTGAGACTGGCTTGTTGCAACACATCGGATCTAGGTTATGAGAAGATTGGTTCCTGCGTTTAGAACATGCGATCATGTCGCGGTAGGTCTATTCGGAATGCTAGGGCGGACGGTCCCTACTCAATATGTGCCCCAGGGGGGAGCGGGCCTTGGCCGGAGGAGGGGCCGGTCGCCGCAGCCGCGGCCCCCCCGCCAGATCTCCGACGACACGGTCTTCCGAAGCATCCAGGAGGAAAAGAAACACACAGACACAATTAATCCTCGATTCCATAGAAAATATGGGAAAATATGGGAAATGGGGGGGAAGACAGAAACCCAGAAAATATGGGAAAATATGGGGAATCTTTTTATTTGTGTGTATTTATTTGTGTGTCCTGGGGCCCCTTCAAGCATGTTGTCAGTCCTCGATCTTCTCGCTTTCGGCTTCTGGGCCCTGCGATCGGGCCCGGGGCGCATCAACGGTGGACCGGGGACTGGGGCCAGGGGACGCGGTCGGGGCCTCTGGGGCCAGTCGCGAGCAGACCCCCTCGTTTTGTGATATTCTGTATTTATAGATATGTGTATATACTGTGTATATATATATATATATATTCTCATACGCACCTCTCCGAGGGAGTAGAGCTCAGAGGCGATTAATGCGCACGCGTCCGCGATTTTTCTGGGCGTGTCGCTCGGGACATCCTCGAAATTCTGAAAATCGGTGGCACCCCTCACGCAGATCGCGACGTCAGGGTCCAAAAACACATGGGAAATTCAACATTTTAATATAAAACCTTCAAAAACACATGGTAATTTCAATAATTGTGACCCCGATTCTCAGTGAATGGCGGTTTCGCTTGAAAAATCGTTCCAAAATCGAGCCCCAGACCCCGCCTCGGAGCCTCCTGGGGGCCTCCTGGAACCTCCTGGGGCCTCCTGGGCCTTCTGAACCTTCTGGCACCCCAGACCCCGCCTCGGAGCCTCCTGGGGGTGTCCTGAAACCTCCTGGGGCCTCCTGGGGCCTCCTGCGGCCTCCTGGAGCCTCTTGGGGCCTCCTGAAGCCTCCTGGGGTCTCCTGGGGCCTCCTGAGGCCGCCTGGGGCCTCCTGGGGCCTCCTGGGGCTTCAGAACTACATGCACACAGAGACACAAATCACGCCCAACACATCACACGCTAGACAAACATAACACACACACACACACACACAACACCTACAACACACAAAAAGCACGCACCACACGAAGCATACATCACACAACACACACACACACACACACACGCACAACACTCACAATCCTGGGGCCTCCTGGAGCCTCTTCTGGTATCCAAGTCGGGCCTCCTAAGGCTTCCTGGGGGCCCTGGTACACACATCGCAAGGTGTGGCAACCCCACTTGCGCTCGAGTGCGACTTCGATGTTGCATTTCACTCCTGCTTCAAACGCCCCTTCAGTTTTTTGTATGAGCCTGCGCACACACGTGCCACTTGTGTATATCTATATATATATATACATATATATATATAGATATGTGTATATACTGTATACGTATATATTTATATATCTATATATATATAGATCACGGCGGGAGAGTTCCCGCTGAGGGGGCCCTCGCAGGGGCCCCAGGGCCGTCAAAGCCGACTCGGGATGCAGAGCCTGTCCCGGGGACGGGGCGCAGACCTCTGGGGAGCCGCGCTGGAAGCAGGCTCGCGACGTCGGACGTCTGGGGCGGCGGTCCTCTTGCGCGTGCGTCGTCCTCGCTGGGCCTCCTCGGTGCGTCTCGTCGCCACGGCGGGAGCCGCCTCGGCCAGCGGGCCACCCGGAGATCCCAGCGCAGCATCTCTTTCAAAGCTGGGCGAGTTCACCCGTGGTCGGGCCCCGGGGCCATCACAGATCGGTCCAGCGCGAAGCGTGCCGCAGACAGGCAATTTCACCCGTGGTCGGGCCCCAGGGCCATCACAGATCGGTCCAGCTCGAAACTTGGGGGCGGAAAAGAGGGGGGTGATGACTAAGGGGGGGGGGATATCATGGCGGGGGCCATGATATTTCCCCAGATTGTATGGCGCCTCTTCTTATTTCATTACGTCCCTGGCCCCCCCGCTGGGCCGCGCACATGCCGCCGGTCATGATTTGCACCCCCCCCTCTTGGAGACCCCCCTCTTTGCCGCTCCCGAGAAACGTGCCGCAGACAGATAGGGTCTGGGGTTTCGGTCGCGGTGTTTTGTCCATCATGCTGCCATCTGTGCGCAACGTTGCTTGGGGCTCTCTTGGGGCCTGGTGGCGCTGTCACAGAGGCCTCTTGGGCCGTCCTGGGGCCCTCTCGGGGGTCTCACGGGCCCGCGTGGATCGATCTCCGCGGCCTCTCGGCCTGTTTTAGAGTGCTGGCACATGGGGAAGGCGAGAAGGACCAACACGCATCGAGAAGCCGAGTCCTTCTACCCCCATGGGGGCCCTCTCGGGGGGGCTGCGCTGACCTCTTCTGCGGCGCCTTCGGAGCCCCGCGTGCCGCGTGCGGGGCGGCGGGGCGGCGGGGCGGATGCCTTTGCTCACGAGGTGGCGCCGTTCCGTGGCCTCCGGGGCAGGCCGCACAGCTCGGGCAGGGTCTGAGCGACTCGCGGCGCCCCCTCGGGATAGGCAGCCCGCCGGCGAACACCCGTGGTCGATCGTGCCGTGTCAGAGGGGTGTGGGGGCCTTCTTGGTAGCCTCTTGTTGGGTCCTCTCGCGGCCGTAGCGGGGTCTTCTGGGACTTCTCCTGGCCGTCGTGCAGCCCTGAGGAGCCGTCTTGAAGTCTCACGGGTCAAAGGGACCCGGGAGGGGGCCGGGCCCCGTCCCCTGCCCAGATGGTCTGGTACCGGAAATTTTCGGTAGCGATTTCGACGCACCCCGAATTTCGGTAGCGACCGGATCTTCGTTTGAGGGCGTTGAGATAGCGGATTTCAGAACGGTTTGATACCGGTATTGGGCGCTACATTTCGGTGTTTCGGTAGCGACCGATCTCTGCGGAGCGCTACCGGAAATTTTCGGTAGCGGACCATCAGGGTGATGATTCAATCCGGCAGTCTTGCCAGGCAAATAGGGGCGGGGGTAGAATTGCTTGTCCGGGCTTCCTGGGGGGGGGATTAGGGGGGGTTCTATCTCGCACGCGTGGAAACCCACACAGGGTAGGCGGGCTTGGGGAGGTGAGGAGTATGTGTGAGCGAGGTGGGAGGAGGGGGCGGTCCTCCGTCCAGTTAACGCAAATCCAGGTCCAGTTAAAGGGAGTTGTGCAATAGATTGAGAGAGCGTGATCCACCGCCGCTTTACTATGGAAAATTGCCAACCTTTTCCTCCGGAACCCGGGGGGCCCCCCCCCCTCCGCCCCCCCCCCCCCTCCCCCCCCTCCCCCGGCAAAACCCCCCCCCCTAACCCCCCCCCCCCCCTTCGAAAACCGGGGGGGTCACTGCCGGTTCGAACCCCTCCCCCCCCCCCCTCCGGATCCGGAAAACCGGGGGGGGTCACTACCGGTTCGAACCCCCCCCCCCCTCGAAAACCGGAGGGGGATCACTACCGGTTCGAACCCCTCCCCACCCCCCCACTCACCGCCAGCAAACGACTCCCGGTCCCTACCACCGTCCGCATCACATCCTCCACTGTTGTTCCCAGCACCACTGTCCTCACCACCACTGTCCCCACTGTGTCCCCACCAGTGCCCCCACCACTGTCGCACTGTCCCCACTGTCCCCACCACTGTTCCCACCACGGTTCCACTCTCCCCACTGTCTCCACGGCCCCAACCACTGCCCGACTATCCCCACTGTCCCCACTGTCCCACTGACTCCGCCGCTGTCCCACTGAGCTGTCCCACTGTTCCCACCACTGTCCCCACTGTCCCCACCACTGTCCCCACTGTACCTCTGTCCCATTGTCCCACCGCCGTCCTCGCCACCGCCTTCACCACTGTCCCCACCACCATTGTACCCTCCACTGTCCCACTGTTTCCACCTCATTCCCACTGTGCCCACACCGCTGTCCCCACCACCACCGTCCCCACCACTGTCCACTGTCCCCCCTGTTCCCACCATTGTCCCCACCACTGTCCCCACCACTACCGGCCCTCTACTGTCCCACTGTCCCACTGTCCCCCCCACCACTGTCCCGCTGTCCCCTCACCACTGTCCCACCAACACCGTCCCCACCTCTGTCCGCACCCCCACTCGGTTTTCGAGGGGGGGGGGGGGGGGGGTTCGAACCGGTAGTGACCCCCCCCCCCTTTTCATGATGAGCTGGGGGGGGGGGGGAGAGGAGGGGTTCGAACCGGTAGTGGCCCCCCCCGGTTTTCCGGAGGGGGGGGGGGAGGGGTTCGAACCGGTAGTGACCCCCCCCGGGTTTCCGCCAGCAGCGGTAGAACACGCTCTTTCAATAGATTTGGTGCAATCGATTTGTGGGGTGGCAATACCTAGAGTCGGAGCGTGACATATTCTGGGTTGCAATACAATGCAGCGCAATCTTCTGGCGCAGTGCATTTCCAATGCAATTTCCCAACATCTATTGCAGCCTCCCCGATTAGGTGGGCCCCCTTAGTGCGTCAACCAGACTCCGTCTCCGTGGACATCGTCTGTGAAGTTCTCAGATGATGGTGCTTCTGGTGCATGTCAGTGAACCCCGTCTTCTCCATAGCACGAGCACAGCCCAGATCCCGCACTCAGGAAGAGAGATGTGTGGAGGCCACTTCGGGTGGTTCATTACGATGCGCAGTCGTCAGCAAGAAAATGTATGAGCAGGCTGGCGGACGTTGTCGGTCGGAAATTGCACTCTGGTGTCTAGACGCCGTCGGCTCAGTGAGCCTCATGTCGAAGCAGATCGTTCCACATGTCCCATCCCTTCTTTGCATGCCGTACAGCTGCCATCCAGCATGTGAGAGTCTCGGGATTGAGTCCGCCTTAACATTGTTCGTGCTTGTGCATCGGTGGGGAGGCTGCCTATGCGATCTGGAACCTGACTGTTGCGCACGAGGACTCACCGTCTGCTAATATTGTGGCAGCTTGAAATTGTGTGTGCTCAGTTGTGGTGCTGCGTCGACGGGTTCTACTCTGGGTATAACGGCGCCGATGCAGCAGTACATACATATTGCTATATTTATATGCATGTAGGTATGTGCGATGGAACGTTGTTACGATGTCCATTTGTGGTGCGTCGTCGGCACAATGTGTGTGCTCGTCTTGTTATGAGGATCGTGCGTTCGATCAATCAATCATCCCCACTGCGCTGTCGTGTTGGGAGCATTCGTTCCGTGCTGAGTGTTGCACTCAGGTCCATTAGCTCGCCTTGTTGAATGCTATCCAACTTGATTCCGTCCTCGTTGCCAGTCTGTTACCTTTTGGGCCAGATTCTCCCATTCCTCTTTTGGCGTCCTCTCGTCCGGTTAGTATTGCGATATTGTCGACGGCACCCCTACTACTACTACTACTACTACTACTACTACTACTACTACTACTACTACTACTACTACTACTACTACTACTACTACTACTACTACTACTACTACTACTACTACTACTACTACTACTACTACTACTACTACTACTACTACTACTACTACTACTACTACTACTACTACTACTACTACTACTACTACTACTACTACTACTACTACTACTACTACTACTACTACTACTACTACTACTATGTGTGCGTGGCCCCCCCGAGGCGACGCGCGCACCGATAGATGTTTTAGCATGTGTGTGTGTGTGTGTCGTGACTGGCGCTCTCTGGCCGTACCGCTCTGAAAACGATCTGCTACAATATGGGTCTACTATATGTTCGGGTCGGACGCGCGCCTCCGAGGAGGACATATATCTCTGTGCGTCCCATATTGTGTTGCTCCCTCTGAGCTCATGTTCTGTCTCCTCGTCTTTCCGCTCCCGTTCCCCCCTGCTCTCCACCGCTCACGCAGCTCTCCCCTCATCGACCTCCGTCCATACTCTCTCCTCCTTCCTCCATTCACACTCCCTCCGCCCTCCCCTGGGCCCTCATCCCTTCCTCGTCGTTGCTCTCCCCTTCCCGCTTTCTCCAGTCCTCGTCGTCCCGCCACCATCCCCCATCTCGCTCCTCGTCCTCCTCTCTCTCTCCTCCCTCCTCCCTGTCCATCTTCCCTCGCCCTGCCTCGGCCTCCCCACACACTGTCCATGCGGCGCGCCGGCAGCGGAGTGGTGGCGCTCTGGGTCCCGGAGCGGGAGGCCACGCGCCCGAGGTGTGGGGCCCCGATGAAGACACGGCCCGCGCCCGGTTCCCGGGCCGTCGCCCCGGAGCCACCTTCGGGCACGCACGCGGACCCAGACCCCAGACGTCGTGATCGATTCGCAGCGTCGACCCCAGAGATCTGGGCCCCTCGCCCGGGACCGGTTGGCCATCCCGAGTGGCCTCTTGACGGGCCCGAGGCCCGGCAGGAGCCCCCCGAGGCCGAACCGAACGTGGCGACAAAGCCTCGCGCCGTACTTTTCTTCACTGCGAGAGGGGGGGCCGCGTGCCCCATAGCGCGGTGCCAGGCCGCGGTGCTCCATGGGTGCCCTGCCGCGATTATTGGCGGTATTTGTAGGTCGGGACTGTCCCTCTGCAGGAGGAATATTTGGAGATAGTAACAAAAACAGTCTGGGGACGATCTGTTTGGCATTTGTCATATATACATATATATAGATTCGTTGACTATCTTCATCTTTCGTCGAAAATCCGCCTACAGGAGGACATGCCCGACCTAACTCTGGGGTGTGCGGGCGCCCGCGGCCAGGCGCGTGGCGCCCGCACCCCGCGAGGCAGACGAGGCGACGTCCGCTCGGGCGGAGCTCCCCACAGGGCCATTGGCGGCCAGCGGGGTGCGTTGGAGCACGCCCTCCCCCCTCCTCCCATTCGCGCGGCCGCCCTCGTCTTCCCCTCTCCTCTCCTGCGCGCTGGACAGTCTTAGCTCGGTGGGTGGGCGCAAGGCGGGGCGTCTCATTGGCCTTTGGGACACTGCAATGATAGTGACCATCGCGATCCACGGTTCCTATGTCTTTACTCGTGCCAGGGCTTTCAGCAACACGCATCTTCGTTGGTCCACCCACGCGTCTTCACCCTCCTGCCTCCTCCCTCCGCCCTGCCCCCGTCCCAGTGTGTAGTATCCAAGGGTTCGGCCAGTCTCGCCGCTTTCTTGCCCCCGTCCTTGCGACTGCCAGGAGAACAGCAGGAAGTTTGTGAAGTGCGGTGCGGTCCCGAAGCTGGCCAAGCTCCTGCACCACTACTCGGACGTAGCGCAGGAAAATGCGGCTGGTGCGCTGATGCACATCACTGCGTGCGAGGAGGGGCATTGGACTGCAAGGCTGAGATAGCTTTAATGACAGTAAGTGCGGTCTGTGTTTCGGAGGTATGGCGGTCGATCAACAAAACTGGAGGTGCTTGCTTAGTTTGACATAAGCCGTGTAAGGCAGGTGCCTCTCAGTAATTGGCCGATTTCCGCGTCCCACGTGGTGTAGGGTGTCACTGGGATGATTCGTGGGACTGCTACTTTTCCGTGTATGTACTCCTGGCATTTTTTTTGTTATCTCTTCGTGTTCATGTACCACAGTCGTATTATTATTCGGGCGTTTGTAGTACAGTCGCACCGAAATGGAGGCGGGTAGTGGACGCCAGCGTGCAGTCGCAGTGCATGGCAGTGACCGACGCATCTTAGAGCATGGGTATCCAACACTGGAGTGGCGGGAGGAAGCTCGAGTGGCCATCAAGGACGCCGGGGCAATCCCGAGGTTGTGCGAGCTGCTGCATCCGCACAATGAGCCAGAGGTGGGCGTCTGATTATTTCTGCTCTGCTTGAACAGTTGAGTCACATCCGTTTGCATGATATCAAAATGTTGTAAACCATGCCAGTTTTGTTTCATATGCGTGGCGTTGTGTTTGCCTTACACGTGTCTTTTGAGACATGCAGGCTGTCTATGTTTTCTTCTTGTACGTCGTACAGGTTATAAGTTGGACGTATTGCCCGCGCCCATCTGTCAGGGCCTCACAGGTGGGCACGGGCAAGACTTTGGTTTGGCACGGCGCCTGACAGTTAGTCGCTGAACACTTTTCTCTCAGAATGGACTGCTGCGTGCTGGTCTGCGGCAGGGTGCCAAGTGCTGGGCGCCACATCGGAAACCGCACGTTGGTTTCAGGAGCGGCTCGGGTTGTCGGCCCGTGCCTTAGATCCAGATCGGGGGACCTATTCCTGGCCCCCCCCAAAGGGCCGACCTCGACCCAGCAGCGGTGAGGACCTGCGCGCGGCACTCGAAATCGGGCGCCGAGCGCAGGTGATCACCGCTGGGGTGGAGGTGTCGGCCTTGGTGGGGCGCCAGAGGCGGTTTCCTCGGCCCATCGGTTGTGGTCGTCTTTTCTTCGCCCATGACTGCGGGTGCCTCGGTGCTCAGTGTAAGGGTGCTGGGGGAACTGTTCGGAGGGCAGCGTGAACATGTTGTTGCTTCTGTCTCTCGTTGAAGCGCACACACGCGTTCTGGCGTCGAGGTGCGTGAGTTAAAGTGACGGGTCCCGTTGTCTGTGGAAAAAATATACACACTGTGGGAAAACACACACACGTGTGGGAAACAAAAAACATATAAAACACACACACACACAATAAAAACACACACACACACACTGTGGGAACAAAACACACACACACACTGAGACTGTTTTTTTGTTTTTTTCTGTGTGTTTTTTAATTACTAAATCTGCGGGCTGCGGCGTCCGTCGCCGAATGAGACGGCATCGGCGCCATGGTTCGGGGGCTGCGTTCCCCGATCTGCGGACCCGGCGCCCGCGCTCAAAAACCCAGGGATTTGTAATCCGTGTTGGCGGGTTAGCGGGGCCCCAAAGGGCTCGAAATAGTCAGAAAAGTTGGAGACACCTTGAACCGGCGACACCCTCTGCAACGCACGACATGTGTGCGTGTGGGCACCTTGGTCGAGATTGTTTTGTGTCCAGCCTTGGCGCCGAAGGGTCGCTACGTACTGCCAGGCAAAATGCCTGCCACCTCGGGGCAACAGTATCGGTTGTATGTGGGGGGGGGGGCTGGATCCCCCCAAATATGTCAGCGCTCGCGTGGTTGCTGTAGCGTTCGCAGCGCACCCGCACCCCACTGTACCCCACGCGGCCCGAGCGTTACCCTTGACCCGCCCCCCCCCGGGGTTCACACCAGCAGCTAGAAACACGTAGCAACCCGCAATTGCGGATAAGAGTGAGGGGGCGGGCTCGGGGTGAGTCGCGGGTGGGTCGTGGGTGAGTCGTGGGTGGGTCACGGGGTGGGTCGCGGGTTGGGTCGCGGGTGGGTCGCGAGCGGGTCCCGACGCAACAAGAACAACAGCAGCAACAACAACATCAATCATGTTCATATTGATCGTTCTTGTTTGTTTGCGTGCCTGTCAACATGCAAATCTCAAACCCTCGATACCCGCCCTTTCCGTCTTCGATTGCACCCCTTTTGGGGTGTGTCTTCCTTTATCTGCCACGTGTAGCTGGTGCAGGGACAACGGAGAGAGAGAGAGAGAGACATTGCTGGAGCACGGCACAGATTCGCACAAGGGAGGTCAAAAGCATAATAACCGCATGCCGACGATAATAACATATCCTCCATTCACCCACTATAGCGGATTGTCCCTGGGCTGTGTACGGTTTCACATTGCCACGACAGCACCCCCAAAGTTCGCATCGCAGTTTTCATCTTCGTATAATGCAGGGCGCCAGTAGATCTCTGATAAACATTGTGTTGTCAGGATGTTTTAAGCGAAACGCCCATTTTCGAACATTCGCCGAATTCGTGACCATCAGCTGCTCGAGGATGTCTCAAGCAAAACGCTTGTTTTGTGTGAAAGTCACTGCCGCGACAAATAGCTGTCTGCTCCTCCTCCCTCTCCTGCTCCTGCGCTTCCTGCTCTTGCCTCTGTCCTTCTATCTTCCTTGTCCTTTTTATCTATCTCTCCTCTTCTCGCCTCTGTCTCCCGTTCCTCCTTTCTCCGTTCCTGGTCCGGACTTGTTGTACTCCAGGAGTGTATCATCTCTGGAACAATGAACGACGATGAGTATTCCATGACAAGTTGACAACCACCAGGAATCGTTGAGTTCTACACATTGAATTTGATAGGGCAGAAACCCTGACATTTTTCTGAAATCCTCCTCATCCTCATCCTCCTTCTTTCTCCTCCAGGAGGGCCCCCCCGCAAGGAACCAACCCACCAGTTCACCCTCGTATTTCATAGGAGTGGTGCTTTCCCCACATCTCCAGGGGACCCTTCAAGAAGGATCATGGAGGCTCCATCATGGAGGCTCTTGGAGACCGATCCAGACATCAGAACATCGATATGTATATCTGGGACAAAGATATAATCCTTTCTGGGGCCCGAATATCCCGGCGCGGTTATTCTCGCCAGCATAGGGTCATCAAGCGGCAAAGCCAGACGGGCAGGTTGGGCGGGCGGGCCCAAACGGCGGCGGCGAGCGAGCGGGCCGCTGAAGCGTCAGTCCTGAACGGATCGCGAGGAGGTCTCCAGCGATATCACGGTTCCTAAGTAAATCCTGAGGCAAGGTTGTGATCTCTGAGCGTTGGGGGCGCGGTGTTTCAATCATGCGATGGAGTACCTCGCGGGGGCGCGATCTCTGCATTCCTTGTGAGGAGGTCCCGCGCGAGGGCGCGGTTCAAATGGGCTGCCAGGAAGGATCAGGCGGGAGCCGTTCCTGTTGTTGTAAAGGGGGGGAAAGCCATGGGCACATTGTGAGTCTCAAGACTGTCCCTTGTAGAACAGGGTGCGAGTCCCGCGATGGGCACGTCAATTGAAAAAACAACGGGCACCAGAGGTAGGACCAGCAGGAGTTTTTTTTCAGAAGTGAGAGTTCGACAAGAGCAACCACACACACAGCAAGGATAATCCGCTGGACGGACCGCCATTTCTGCCACGCACCCGGGGACAATGAATGACCGCCTGGCCCCCTCGCTCCGCGTAGGGGGTGAGGGGGTGGCCGAGGAAACGGCCCGGGCGACCCTGACCCAGAAGACCTGGTCGGCTTGCGCAGCGGTGCGCGCACCGACTCTGAGGCCCATGCGAGGCTCGGCCCTCGCCGCCGAGGCCCGAGCTCCCAAAAAACAAAAACAACAACAAAAAACTCGCTCCGCGTAAGAAGACCACGTCTGGCCTCTAAGTCGTGCAGCCCGTGCTCTCCCGGCTCGCAGAGCCCCCCCCACCCCCGGTGCTCTCGGCGCTCCGCCCCGCCGCCGGCGCGCGGCAGGTGAGCAGCCAGGCGGCCGGGGCGCTGCTCAACATGGCGATCGACTCCCCAGAGTACGCGGGGATGATTGCCAAGGAGCGTTGGTCGGGGGTGGACAGAACCCCCAACAGTGACACGTCGATTAGTGAATTGTCCGTTTTCGGTTCTCGAGAGGGCGCCGCGGCCGTCATTTTCCAGGCTTGCGCCCGCCAGGTTTGGGCCTCAGGTCGTTTTCACTACACCACGTTTTACTAAAGGGGGGTCTGTCCATCCCCGAGTTGGGCGGATGTTGGGCGGATGTCAAACGACGCGAAGATCGGGACAAAATCGGATCGGGATAGCTAGAGATCTCTGAGAGTCGGCGGGTTTGGAGGATGTATTGGGCGCCGCGGCCGCTCCAGAGCGTTCCGGAACGCTTTGAGAGCGCTCCGGAACGCTCTGGAGCGATTTATCCCGATCCTAGCCCTGTTTTAGGATGGAGGGGCGACCATACCCGCGCCTCCACGGTCTCAACTCTGGCGCGCGATGCCGCGGGCTCGCGGCCGTACGGATGCGGTCCGCGCGGAGCACCCGCGCAGCAACGCCTCGTCTCCGCGGGGTCGCGGCCCGGGGGGCTGGCCCACGAGGCCGCGGATGCGGCTCCGTTTTTCGCCCACGAGTTGGACGGGCGGAAGGGCAGGGCGAGGAGGAGGAGGAGGAGGAGGAGGAGGAGGAGGAGGAGGAGGAGGAGGAGGGAGGAGGGAGGAGGAGGGAGGAGGGAGGAGGAGGAGGAGGAGGTGGAGGAGGAGGAGGGAGGAGGGAGGAGGAGGCGGCGGAGGAGGAGGAGGAGGAGGAGGAGGAGGAGCGTTCCTTGCAGGCCTCGGCCGCCTCGCAGCCGCGACCCCGGCGATGGGCGCGCCACGCCACGGCCCTCGGGCGGGGTTGCCTGGCCGAGCTGCCGCCCGAGGCCCCAGCGTGACGGAGGGGCCACGTCGAGCGGGATGGGCTCAGGCAGGGGGGACAGGCCTCGTTTCGACTCCTTCGATTCGATCCGATTCGATTTCGATGGCTTCCGATTCCGATTCGATTCGATTGGGGATCCCGACTTGGGTTTCCGATTTCTTATTGGAGGTGTGTTGGCCTGCCGATTTCCACCCGTTCGATTTTTCCGACCCGGCTGCCGATTTCCGTGGATCCGATTCATGTCGATCGCCGATCCGCCTTGTCGATTCGATTCTGGGCTCGTCTGGGGGGAGGTGCATCGACCGCCAATCGCCCACTGATCGCCGACACGGGGCCCGATAGCCCACCCCGCCCAGGAACCGGCGGCTTCGCCAGGGAGCGTTCGTTGCCGTTCTGTCGGCGACGTATCGCCGATCCCAGCCCGATGGTCCCAATGCTGTGCCGGTCCCCCGCTTACACCTTAGGCGATGCTTCAGAAAACTCAAGTTTTCGGCCAGAGTCTCGATTCTTCTTAACGTTTCAACGTAAATCCTAAGATTTTAATAGACATGTTGGGTTTTTAGTCAAGTTCTGAGACTATGAATTTCTTAACCCATGATTTCTTAAGCATTTCGCAGGGTGTATCGGTGCCCCTGAGGCAGGAGAACGTCAGGTGGTCAGAGGCCATCCTCCTCGGTCGCCCTGCTGCTCGTCCTGGGGAGCCCTCCTCGCCGCCGCTGGAGTCTCCGCGGAAGCTTCGTCAGACCCCTGGGGGAGATCTGGGGAGTAGCCGCTTCGGTAGCTTGTCTGTCCCCCCCCCCCAGAGGAGGGAGGGAGAGGGGATGGGAGGGAGCGCGGAAGTCACCACCCACCAAACTATCCGAACCCAACCTGAAGGCGTCAAGTAGCCCTCCATTCCCAGTGGAGGGGGGGACCGTCGGGGAGCACGTGGAACCCGTACCGCCCCCAACTTGAAATTTCTGGTCGTCGGGTCAGGTTGTGATGGTATGGTAGGTAGTCAGGAAGGATCTAGGCCTCCTAGATGTGGTCGGAGTAGATGGAGTCGGAGGATGGCGCCACATCGCCGATGTGGCTCGATGTGGAGCCCGATTTGCTTCACGTCGACGTCGCCGATGCATCGCCGATGTCGACGTTGCATCGCCGGTGCATCGACGATACATCGCCGATACATCGCCGATGTATCGGCGATGCGGCGCGATCCCCCGACCCCATCTACTCGGACCCCATCTAGGATAGAAGGAGGGGCTTAGGGGTGAGGACGGTGGGAGCCGAAGGGGAGGGGCTGGCACGGGGGCGGGAGGCTCGTCGAGGGTGACAGGGGCAGAGAGGGCAGAGGGGCGGGAAAGAGAGCGAGAGAGAGAGAGAGAGAGAAAAAAAAAAGGAGGGGGCTCTCGAGGGAGTTGCGCCGACATCCGTGGCTCATCCCGCCGGGGAGGAGGGGCAGGGACGGAGAGGACGCGGAGGTCAATGACGGCAACGAGAAGGAGGAGGAGGAGGAGGAGGAGGAGGAGGAGGAAGAGGAGGAGGAGGAGGAGGAGGAGGAGGAGGAGGAGGAGAGGGAGGAGGATCAGGAGGAGGAAGAGGAAGGCGACGACGACGACTACGACGATGGCGACGACGACGATGACGGCGACGGCGACGACGACGACGGCGGCAGCGGCGACGACGACGACGGCGGCGGCGGCGGCGGCGACGACGACGGGGCAGGCTGATTCGTCGGCGGGCGGCGGGCCCTGGAGGGCCGCCGCGGCACGAGCCGCCACGAGGGGAAGGGGGTGGGGTCCCGAGGGAGGTGAGGCCTCGGCCCCCTGGCGAGCCACAGCCGGCTCCATCGTTCTGTCGGCGGTCTTGAAGCCGGCGGGGGGCCGGAGGTGGCCCAGCACTGGTTCCGGTCAGCAGGATGGGGGGGCAGGCTTGAGGTTCGAGGTTGCGGGTTCTGGAAGGTTTCTGTTTGCATTGGTTGGCATCCGGCGGCAGGAGCGGCTACGAGGGGAGGGGGGGTCCCGAGGTAGTCGGAGCCTGGCCACCCCTGGGGCGGAGCTCCCCTCCTGACAGGAGAGGGACGTCAGATTTTACTTCAGACCAGGCCTCCCGCCTCTCGCCACTCTTGCATACCGCGGCCACCAGATCCCCAGGTCTCCCGAGTGTCCCCGAGAGTCCCGCCTCGCGCCGCTCTGCGTACCGCTGCCGCCATGTTCCCATTCGAATGTCCTCGAGTGTCTCGCCTCGCGCCACTCTGCATACCGCGGCCGCCATCTTGCCATTATTCGAGTGTCCCCGAGTGACCCACCTCGCGCCGACAAATCATAATATGACAGAGTGGTACTAAAACGCAGCATAACATAGTACGACACACTACCGTAAACTAGATGGCATAGCATAACATAGCACATCGCCATATATCATAACATATCCGAGCACCAACTACCATGTCATGACAGGCCATGCCGTAATCTAACACTCTATGACAGAGCATTGGATCCCATACCACTGCATCACAGCACAGGGCATTCCATCTTATAGCACAGCAGTCATACGTTCAGAATACATGGCAGAAGCGGACCATGCCAACACAGAACATGCCGCCGCCTCGCATCACATGACCTAGCACATCATAGCACAACGCAGAATGCAAACGCATGCAATGATATATTCGATCATCTATACCATGCCCTATCATACCACCGTGGAGCAAACCATACCGTGACATTACATATCATACCACCACATCACATACCCTGCCAGATCACACCACCTAATACACACATAATCGCAGAACGTACAACATGGTATGCAGCAGCACATCTGATACATCATAACGCGACACGGCGCGGCATACATTGTTGACCCATAGTAGAACATAGCATATCATAATAGCACAGGCTATGGCATACTGCATGAGCAACACATCATCTGACACCATATGTCATACAATAATATACCATAACATGCCACACCATGAAATACCATGCAAACGCATAACATGCCATATGGCAGAACATATCACATCGTACCACAGCATCAAGACACATAGCATTGTATGCCATGCCAAGCGCAACGTGCATACCTTTGGGAACAAACACAGATGTTTCCGGTGGGGAATGTTCGACACACAATAACTTTTATTGAACGCGCTGTGGGCATTATTTGTCATTTTTTTACTGTCGGGCCTCGGCCAACCAGAGCGGAAACAAACGGCAGCCCAAGACATGATAGGAAAATGGCAGCCCGCACAGATCGCACGGCGATGCGAGACTCACCAAACGCAGCAAACACATCGATTCCAAAATGGGCAAAGAACGTCGACCTCGAAAGCGTGTCCCCCTCTAAACACATCGATTCCCAAACGGAGAGAACCGTCGACTTGGAAAACGTGCGCCCCCCCCCCCCAAACGTTTTGAGCATCCTCTGGGTCTTCGGGGCTCTTCCGCCAGGGCCAGCTGCTTGTCTAGAGTCGTTCTGCTGGGGCTCGTGTGGGCAGGCGCGATATGACGCTCTGCGCGTGCATGGCTTTTCGTAGGCTTCCGAGGGCATCCGGGGAACAATGGCATAACATCGGGAGCCTTGAGACGGGGTCAGTGCAAACGGGGGTCAGTCAGAGCGCCGGATCTTGAAGGATCCTGCAGGGCCTGGGTCGCATTGACCCTGGTGTGGGTGCAGGATCCTGCAGGATTTTGCAGGATCATTCGCATTGACCCAGCTTGCAGGATATCGCAGGATTCTGTCAGGCCTGACTGACCCTGGTCTGGATTGACCCGGGTCAGAAGATCCCTGATAACACGTGGTCGTTTTTTTTCATTGTTTTGCCGATCGGCGCGCCCTCACCCCCACCCCCACCCTCCAATCCCCAGGGAGTAGATCTTGTCTGATTCTGGCGCCTGTTTCGAGGAGGTGGCGTCTCCCCCACAGGACGCACTGCCTCGAACAACCGCACTAAGCAGAGGTCTGGAGCTGGACCCCGCCCCTCCCTCGAAACGATGAATGCGAATACGTTCACGGAAGTTGGCTGGGCGCGTACGTCGTCTGTGCGCCTTCCGGTGGGGAGGCGCCCGGGCGGCCCATGCCCTTCCAGGACATGTGATCCTTTCGGGCCCATTCCGTGCTAGACATCAGAGGAGGAACAGATGCCGATGCTGCTGCGTGTTTTTCGTTGTCGCGGTTTGATGTGCCTCGAAGCTCTGATCAGAACGCACCCCTGGAGAGGTCTGGGAAGTAGCCGTAGCGGCACCTATCGGCCCCCCCATGCCCGTTTCTCGCGGGATCCGTACCCGTCCAGAGCATCTGTTCTCCGGGACCCGTTCCCGGCATGCCGAGCAAGGACATGGAACACATATCCTTAAGACTGGATTAACCAGGGTTCAGTAACCATGTTTTAGGTTTTATACCTTGTCTTGGGGTTGATTTTTCGGATGGGGACCTATCACCCGGTCTACCTGGGCCTAACACCCGGTCAACTCCGACTTAAGACTTGGTCCTCGCACAAGGGGCGCTTCACAGTTTTATATAAAGCCACACAAACCTAACACCTGGTTTCTGTTCCCTGGTTAATCGCTTCTTAATATCCATGAGGGTCACGCCATTCCTCCGACCGCGGAATGATGGGGTTTGGAGGAGCAAGGGCAGGAGACGGGAAAGCAGGGCAAAGAGCATGACCATGTCGAATTTGGTGCGCGTCTGGCCCATAGGCGGCGGCGAGCGGGAGGGGGAAATGAGAATTTGAAGAAGAAGGCCTTCTCAGAAGGCGGCGGAACTTTCTCAGAAGGCCTTGGGCCTTCTAAGAAGTTGTCTTTGTCTCCGGGGAAGGCTTAGAACATTTTCAGAAGGCCGGTGGATTTCCGAGAGAAGGCCCGCCCCTTCTCACTTCCCCCCGAGCTCGCCGCCGACATAGCGGTGAACAAGCACGCAACTCTCGCATCCGGTGAGTTTTGCTCATGTCGTTGGGAACTTTGGTTGATCGATCGGCAAAAGCATTGAGCCCCGTTGGAGCTCCACTCGGCAGAGTCCCAGCGTTCCGTCTCAGATGCTCCGGGGACCCCTCGAGATCCCTTCGAGATACCCACCAGATACCCTCGGCATAACCTCGGGGTAGTGTCTGGATGCCCTCGGGAGAACTTCGGGGTAGTCTCTGGATGCCCTCGGGATCCCCTCGGGATAACGTCGGGGTGGTCTCTGGATACCCTCGGGATGCACTCGGGATACCCTCAGGATAACCTCAGAAGAGTCTCTGGGTTCCCCCGGTATCCCCTCGGCGTCCTCGGGGTAGTTTCTTGATATCTTCGGGATGCATTCGGGATAACTACGGGGTAGTCTCTGGATGCCCTCAGAATCCCCTCGGGATACACTCGAGATAGCCTTGGGGTAGTCTCTGGATACCCTCGGGATGCCATCGGGATACGTTTGGATGCGTATCTGACCCCACATATTTGCCAGTATCCCTAACTGACCCAGCGGTGTACCTGTCTCCAACTGCACCCAATCGGGTCGCGCCGCACCTAGCATGGCTCCCGAGTTCGGTGATTCGGGCGGTGGCGTGCAACAGCATTCGTACGAGTGCGCATGATTTCGAGGGGGGGGGCAAGAGGGCGATGGGGGTAGGGGTCCTCGTGTTCTGTTGAGTGTATGCACGGGCGTCCGTAAGCTGCACAGAGTAGAATGTGGAGGAAGGTGATGGTCATCTGGCATTGAGGGAGCGTTAGTCTGACCGCATGTTTGAGGCTGTCCTTTACGGTGATTCCAAGGTTGGTGATTTTGCAGAAGGGCTTATGCTGGTCGCATGTTACAGGGAGCCTCGAGTGGACACTAGTCACGTTCATACGTACGAATCGCTTCCGATTGCAAATCCATGTTGGTTGGATGTTATGAGTGTTTGTTTTGAGCATCCCCCCCAGGAGGGGGCCATAGTTCCACTCATCAACCTGGTGAAAGACGGACCTGAGCTGGCCCGTGATTATGCTGCAGGACCGCTCCACACATTTGTCTGCTTATGTGGCTTGGTGCGCCTGGCAACCATTCATCGTGTGTATGTTTTTCCGTCTCCCCCGCCAGGGAGGCAAATGCATCGATGAGTGGATATGCAATCCCAAGACGTGAATGGTGGAGACCTTATCGGTTTCTGCGTCGCGTCTAGGACGATTCAGTTGTGTAACATCAAGAGGCGCTTGCGGTTGATGCAAGATGGATCGATGCAGTTCAAGGGCCCCTCGTCGCGGTGGCCAGCGCAGCCTCTGAGTCGTTATCAGACCCTTCGCACCGCTGCAGCGATCCACACTTCACACTCTCTTCCGGACGGTGCACCAGTGCGCACGCAAGTCCGGGGGCGATTGTGTACAGCGCAGATGCGCGGAACGTTGGTATCGAGCTCCCTGTGCTGCCGCGGAAGGTCACCAGTGCGCTCGGGGGATGCTGCGCAGCCGTCTTGCAGCGCAGCCCCGGCGGCAGAGCCGCACGGCCACCGCGCGGCTTCCCGTGTGGCCTCGCCGGGCGGCTTCGGGTGCCCCTCCTGGGCACACCGTGTGTGCCTTCTGGGCGCCCCGGGGCTCCCTGGGGGGGGGGGCATCTTGGGTCGTGGCGGAGGCCCCAGGTCTGCACGAACGAAATGGGCACGGAAAGAATGGGTACAATGATGCCCAACAGCGGATCTTGTTCATTTTGAACAGGACTCGCTGTCCACGCCGCCGCGGCCTGTGTTCATTCGAGACAGAAGGCCGCCTGCCCAACAGCGGCCGCTGCTGGTTTGGGACAACATTTGTTGTTGGGCATTGTCAGAGTGAGGGGGCCGAACGGTCATTCACTGTCCCTGGGTGCGTGGCTGAAGTGGGATTTCGCGGTGCGGATTCTCGTTGTTGTTGTTGTTTGTTGTTGTTTGTTGTTGTTTGTTGTTGTTTGTTGTCGTCGTCCCACCCGCAACCCGCCCCGCGACCCACCCGCGACCCACCCCGCGACCCATTCCGCGACCCACCCGCGACCCACCCACCCGCGACCCACCCCGCGACCCACCCGCGACCCACCCGCGACCCACCCGCGACCCACCCGCGACCCACCCGCGACCCACCCCGCGACCCACCCCGCGACCCACCCCGCGACCCACCCCGCGACCCACCCCGCGACCCACCCCGCGACCCACCCGCGCGACCCACCCGCGACCCACCCCGCGACCCACCCGCGACCCACCTTCGACCCAAACCACGTTCAAGGTACAAACCACCATTTTCGGCGCCTGCGGCGGGCTTTTTTTGCATTCCTTCCAGGTGGAGAGCCCGCGACCCACCCCGCGACCAACTCGCGACCAACCCGCGACCCAAACCACGTTCAGGGTACAAACCACATTTTTCGGCGCCTGCGGCGGGCATCTTTTGAATTCGTTTCAGGTGGAGAGCCCGCGGCCCACCCGCGACCACGATCAGGGTACATACCAAATTTTTCGGCGCCTGCGGCGGGCATCTTTTGCATTCGTCCCCGGTGGAGAACCCGCGGCCCACCCGCGACCAATTCCACTTCAGTGTACAAGCCAATTTATTCGGCGCCTGCGGCAGGCTGCTTTTGCATTCCTTCCAGGTGGAGGTGGAGAGCCCGCGACCCACCCGCGACCCAAACCACGTTCACTGAACAAACCAATGCCGCACAAGCGCGGCGGCGGATTTTTGCATGCCGTCTGCGCCCGCAACGACCTCTTCAAGCCCCGCGCATCCACACCAGCCCGTCCAGCAACTTTGCCCTGGCGAGTTGCCTTGATCAGAGAAGTCGGGGAGCATAAAGTGGAAAAAAAGATTGCGTTGCCGCTATCTTGGGAAAGGAGGGGGAGGCAGGAGGAGTAAACAGGGGACGAGGAGGACGCGAAAGAAGAGAGGATGTAAGGACAATGTGGAGAAAGAGGAGGAAGAGGAGCAGCAGGAGGACGAGGAGGGGGAGGAGGGGGAGGAGGAGGACGAGGAGGGGGAGGAGGGGGAGGAGGGGGAGGATGATGATGATGGACGACAGATGGGAGGACGATGATGGAGGCCGATGAGGGGGTGGACGACAATGGGAGGACGATGATGGAAGGACGAGGGGGGGAGAGGGAGGACGAGGAAGAAGAGGAGGACGAGGTGGAGGAGGAGGATGACGATGACGACGAGGACGAGGACGAGGACAGGAGGAGGACGAGGAGGAGGAGGAGGAGAGCGCCATCGACAGGGAAGGTGGGGGCCACGAGGTCCGCCGGCTCGACGACGTCCGCGTCGCCCGCGCCAGCTCCCTCACTCTTATCCGCAATTGCGGGGTGCATGTACCCATTCTTTCCGTACCCATTTCGGCGTCCAAACCAGGGTCCCGAGAAAGGGAAGTCCTCGGGCCGTCCGGAGGGGGACTGCGGTACTCTGCAGCCATGCTGGTGTACTGGAGGATCCAGATGGGTGAGGGCAGAGAGGGGACGACGACCAGCAGCAGTTCCCATCCAGTCTGGACGGGACTCGCTGTCGGGCGTCGCCGCGGACATCTGTCTGTTTGAGGCAGGAGTTCGCCCGCCCAGCAGCGGCTGCTGTCGGTCTTGGACAGCACCTGCTGCTGGGCGTCCAGACGTGCTGCGGTGCTTTTCGGCAGCCGACGTGGGGGGTGTCTCTGGGGCCGTTCCCCCAGACCCAATTCCCCGGGACCGGTTGTTCATTCCGAGTCGTGTTTGTTTCCAGCGGCTTGCAAGGGGGGGAAATGAGAAGAAGAAGAAGAAGAAGGCCTTCTCAGAAGGCGGCGGGACTTCTCAGAAGCCTTCGCGCCTTCTGAGAAGTTGTTGTTTTGTCTTCGGGGGAGGCTTAGAACACTTCTCAGAAGACCGGGGGACTTCCGAACCTTCTGAGAAGGCCTTCTCCTTCTCACTTGCTGTTTGGGTGTGGGTGTCTCCTGCATCGCCCGCGCGCTGTTTCGGAGAGCCGCCACCACGGGCACGGGTCCCAAGGAAACGGGACCTTCGTCCAGGTCTGCCCACGCCCGATTCCAGACGAGCAAACATGTCTTGGGGAAATCTAGACCTCCCAGATAGCAGCCGGGTGGAGATTGTCATAAATTTTGCCTGCAGCGGATATCAATAACGCGTTGCCGTCGGAAGCCCGTCAGCGTAATATCGTTTTCACCGCCCACCAAACTACCCCAACCCAACCCGAAGGCCTCAATTTGCCTTCCATTTCCAGTGGGGGGAGTCGGGGAATATTGAAAAAACACATGGGACCCCGTACCCCCCCCACCCGACCTGAAATCGGGGTCTTCGGGTTTGGTTGGGGTGGTTGGGGTTTGGTTGGGGTGGTCTGAGTCCAGTATCTGGGTGTTTCCTTTACAGTAGCACGGTCATGGTGCCCCCACGGCGGCGTGTCATTGAGTAACCGAGTACCCGAGATAATGAATCATGCCTGATGGGCTTGTTTCCCACCACCACCACCATAAGTTGGAGGGGGAGGGGGTCCTCCTGCTCCGCCTCCTCCTCCTCCTCCTCCACCTCCACCTGCTTCCCCCTCCAACTTATGGTGGTAGTGGTGGAAAACAGGCCCATCAATGCCCCCCTTTCCCCCCAGAGAGTTCATTGTCTCCGGCCAAGACACAGACAGGGCTGTTTGGTGGAGAGGGGCGGCGAGGCCGAGCTTCATTATCGCGGGGGGAAGTCACGAATCGGAGTTGCTGTCTTCTGATGCCGACTGGCAACATCATCACGAACGTGTGCCCAGGCTATGGGCCCAGGCTCTGACGAGTGCGGGCAATCCTTCGGCCTCTGACGAGAACGACTGCGGGCGACCTCTAGGCCGCGCCCTCCCGCGGAAAACATCGTCGTCGTCGGGCGACGACGACGACGACCTCCTCTGTCCTCGTCATACATCCCACGTGCGATTTGCCAGGACACATCGTTCATTATCCCCCCCCGGGACCCTGAGCTTTCTCATACCCCGGGTGTTATTCTCAGGGGCTTCTGGTTGATTCTTGTCTCCCCCCCGCTCACGGTGCCTTCTTGGGATGGGGGGGAGACGTCTCGAGCGGGGAGGGGTGGCCACACCACCAGGCGGACCCTCCCGAGTCTGCGGTGGCGGTGCCGCTTCGCCCTGCTCTTCCCAGAAGAGGAGGAGGAGGAGGAGGAGGAGGAGGAGGAGGAGGAGGAGGAGGAGGAGGAGGAGGAGGAGGGGGAGGAGGGGGAGGATGGTGCAGGCGGGGAAGGCAGCAACCCCCCCAGTCGCCAAGTCGTCGCCGAGAGGGGCTCGAGAGGCCACCGCGCCCTCGGACCGTGCGGTGCCGCAGCGGGGTTCGTATATCGCCGACCTGCCGGCGACGCCTCGCCGGCTCTCTGGCTCGAGGTTGCCCGCCCTGGGCCGGTGCCCCGTCGATCGTTGCCCCTCGGGGAGGGGGGCGAGGATTTTCCCCGATCCCCGATACCGACGACGCATTGCCGGTTCCGGCTCGAGGTTGCCCGCCCTGGGCGGGTCCCCGTCGACCGTTGCCCCTCGGGGAGGGGGGCGAGGATTTTCCCCGATCCCCGATCCTGGATTGGTCCTCGATTCTTGGCCGGCCCTCGACCTTCGATCGGCCCTCGATCGGCCCTCGATCCACGATCAGTCCTCGATGCCGAAATCCCATGTCCAGCCTCAATGGATTTTCTCGTCGCTGATATTGCTGAAGGCGATGTTGTTGCCGGTGGGGTGCAGAGACATCGAATTTTGATGGCGCGTGCAGCCCATTGCCTTTCCCAGCTTGCTGCCCGCGGCGGCAGCCTATGCGTCCGTGTCTGCTCTTCCTTTTTGGGACCTGCTCCATGCTCGAGCGAGCTCGTCGATCCTGGATCCCCCTCTGCGCCCTTGCCCAGACGGCCTCCAGAGTCCCTTATCGCGAGGCCCAGACGGCCCCATGGGGCTCCAGAGTGGAGCGAACAGCTGGAGGCACCCTGGGCCAGGGGCACTTCTACTTGGATCGCCGCGGGAGGGGCGTAGAGCATAGGAGGATACAAGTGGATACTAAGGTGGGTTCTATCCAGTCTATCCCAGCCTAGAAGTGGATTGCACGTGCCCTAAGTGGCTTAAGGTCGCACAGATCTGGTCTAAGTGGGCGGAGCCCACTTAGCAGAGTTAACTCATCATCCTAAGGCTCATAGGGCATTTGCAACCGATTTATGAGTTGGGTTACGCCAGACAAAACCCACCTTAGCATCCACTTCTAAACCTCCATCCCCTTAGCAACCACCGCGACGATCGGAGTAGCAACACCCGACCCAGGGGCTCTGATGAACCTGATGCGCAGCGACGTGGGGCTCGCCGAGGAGGCCGCCAAAGCCGGAGCCGTCGCGGCGGGGCGGGGCGGGCGCTCGGGGCCGGGCCGCGATCCTGCTCGTTTTGGGGATTCGAGTCGGGTGAGACGAAGGGGTCAGAGTACGAAAAGGTACCCACGCCACCCTTCCCTCGTTTCCCCTTTTTTGGACTTCCTGGGAGGCCCTCGTTGCCACCGCTGGATTCGCTTCGAAATTCTGGTCAGAACGCACCCCAGGAGCAGTCCAGGGAGTAGCGGTATCCGTACATTTTGATTTCTTTGGGCGGCCGTTGGCCGAGGTTGGGATTAAGAGTAGGTTCGTGCGTCGCTGGCGTGCTGGCGATGCTGGCGAAGGTGTTCAAGGTTGAATTCTGCGACGCGGAAGCATCGATGGACACGGTAGCGCCACTGCACGATCGGGGCCGCAGTCGATACAAGGTTGCACGATCGACGCGGTGTCTAGAATTTTTACGCGAGCGTCGACGCCGCGCTAACCAAGTGTATCCATATCCATCATGCAGCGGCGGAGCGTCCTGGCCTGCGTTTAGGCCCACCAGAAGTTGTTACATAGACGTGTGAACGAAACGTGCGTGTTCGAACCTTTCTGGCTGAGACAGTCCTGATGTGATACATTGCGTTCGTGGTCCCAGAACGTCGTTGCTCTAAGAACTCTTCTCTCGTTCTTCGAATCTGTCGCGGTAGGCCTAGAGGAATGTCGGGAATATCGGTCTTTGCTCAAATCCACCGCTTGGGAAACGAGTTTGCTTGGATCTCGGCAGGCGGCGGATGCGGACATCTCCGGGCCCCCAATGGCCCCAAAGATGTGTACAACCTTCCGCCCCGTGTTGTCTCACGACTTCACACCGGTGCCCCAGGCGGTGGAGATACACAAAGGCCCCGCCTCGCAGATTGGCGAATCGTCGGTTCTCGGCGGTGTTCTGGCTTCGGGGGGATGCTCTCCAGCAGCTGCGCCTCGCCAAGGGCGCTCCGGGGGTGAGCATTACGACGCAGTTTAGGTTGGCGCGGGCAAAACCCCGCGGTGAGTCATTGTTTTCTTTCTCATGGTTCCCTAGACCCTCAAAATCGTAGCCTGCATCCACCCATCCAGCCTTTACCCCTCCTGTGCCGTCCACGTATGTTTCCAATTCCGTACCCTCGTGCCGCCCACGAATTCGTTACGGCGAGGTCTTCCATTTGTTCTCTCTTTTGTGTTGGCGTTTTTGCGTAGATTCTTCGCTTCAGGGCCAAGAAGTCATCGAAGGAGATAACGTCGACACTAGCATTGCTACAACGTAGTGCTGAGTGCCCAGAAGCACACGCAGCACGCGCACAGTGTTCTCTCCAGCTCGCCGGTTAGATCGGTCGTTTGCAGACTGCGAGGCCAGTTGGTTTGTGATCGAATTACCGAAAGGGGGGCGTTGTGTTATGCGATACATGGATTCGTATGGATGGATGGGACGGATGGGGGCTCATTGAGTCCAGAGTTGTTTTGCCAGTCACGTGCACGCGGCACGTTCAGGCATAAGTCTTATTCATCCACCCTGTCGTTCTATCTTGGTTTCGGCTGCGGGGAGGTCCACGTCGAGCTGCTCGCGGTGTCCAATTGCAGACTCCAAGCGCAGGCGCCCTCCTGCAGCAGTTGAATATCTGCAGACACTGCGCTGGACACAGTCGCGTTGGTTCGACGGCGACGCATTACGCCTGCGCTTCTCGAACGTACACGGCGTCTCTTGAGAGATCCGTGACGCTTCGCGTATCCCCACCAGGCCATCCAACAGCAGCCACACGGCGAGTTGCCCTGCTCAGAGATGAATTGCAGCATACAGTCACGCTTTGGGGGATTCTTGCGGTCATCGTGGGGCCCTATTGAGGCCCATTTGGAGCCATCGTTGGAAGCTTTTCTGGCTCTCTAGCGGCCCTCTTGAGGCCCTTTTGGGGCTCTCTTTGAGGCCTTGAGGGGCCTCTTGGGTTCCTTCGATTAAAAAAGAATGGGCGGGCAGGATTAACGTCCCCCCGTCGCCTCATGGAGCCCACTTTGGGCGCTCTGAGGCTGAGGCCTTTCTGGCCTTCTTGGGCCCCTCTTGGGGCTCTCGAGGCTTCCAGATGGCCCCGTCGGATAGCGAAAAGGCGAGAAGGCATACGAAACTCGATCTGACAGGTTCTGCAATGGTGTCTGCCTCTCGGGGGATCCCCGGAGGCTCTGTGGCCCTTTGGAGCCATCTGGGGGTGGTCTTGGGGCCTCTTCGGGGCATGTTGGCAAGCTATCTTGAGCGATCTTGTGAAGTGATTTTCGATATTGGAGGCCATCTGGTGTCATCTTGGACGCTTCAGCGTCTACGACGTCGACGAGTACCACCACCACGACCACGACCACGACTACGACTACGACGACCACGACGGCGACCACGACTACGACTACAACGACGACCACGACCACGACCTCAACGACGACGACGACGACGACGACGGCCATAAGTATGCCACGACCACAGGGAATGGGGGACCCATCCAGCGGGAGGTGGGTGCCCGTTCCCATCAGAATTGGAGGGGGGAGGGGCCCCGAGCTTTTAATCATCATGTAGTACATATATAATATATGTATATAAATGAATATGTATATTCAGAGAGAGAGAGAGAAATAAAGAAAGAGAGAGAGAGAGAGAGCGAGAAAGAGAGACAGAGAGGAGAGATCTCGCCGCCCTGTGCCAGATTCTGATATCTGTCTTCTGGTATTCCGTCGCCGCGCGGACTTCGCAGGAGTGGTGCATCCGCCGGTTCGCCATCGGCCCCCAGCGGTCTCTGTGCCCTGGCAGGTTCTGACCTCCGCTGGTTCAGCTCAGGGGCAACGCATGAACCCCAATCGCCCACAGGGCCTTTCGACCCCCTCACGTCGTGAACAAAATCATGAGTTTTTTTATTATTCTCGGCCTTCAGGGAACCTTACTCGGCGGCGAGCGAGGGGGGGAAATGAAAAGGAGAATACCCTCTCAGAAGGCGGCGGGGCTGATCAGAAGCCCTCTGGCTATCTCAGAAGTTTTTGGAGTCTTCGGGAAGACTTCGATAACTTCTCAGGAGGCCTGGGAACTTCCGAGCCTTCTGAGAAGGCCCGCCCCTTCTCACTTCGCCCCCGAGCGCGCCGCCTAGCCTTACCAGACCTCGGGACCGACAAAAAACGGCTCAGGATGAAAGGCCGGTCCCCTGCGGTGGTTCACGTCATGAAAATGCCATGTAGTCGGGGGGCTGGATCAGGGGGGAAGCATCGACCCCCAAGCGCCCATTCATCGCCGATAGGGGCTCTATAGCTCACCCCGCCCAGGCTGTGCGAATTTGCTATCGGGGCTCTTCCACCGATCTTTCGTCGGTGTATCGCCCGATTCAAGCTCGATATTTTACCCCCCTCTGAGCCGGTCGCCCCTAACATTGCCCCTCATGGTGCACCCCTAGCCCAAGCTGGACCAGCTGCAACTAGAGGCTGAGACTCCTGCCGGCTGAGACTTCCGCTGGTGCGTCACTAGCTCCCCAGACATCACCGCAAGCAGCAATTAAGACCCCCCCTCTCCGGCGAAAGTGTAACGCACCCGGCACCCCACAAGCGTTATCCTGGCACCTCGCACCTTCATGTGAACGCAGACGAGTCTGCTCGCCGAAACAAGCAAACCGCCTGAGACATTCTCGCAATCTGGTCTGCTTGTGGTACTGAAAAACAACCGCTTCGCCTGAAATATCCTGAGAAGCTGCTCTGGAAGCAGACGAGTCTGCGTCCAGAGCAGTTTTTTTATTCTTATTATGATTCTAAGCATCATTATCATTACTCGTATTTCACTCTTATTTCTATTATTCCAATTCCAATTGGGATGCCACCCGAGCCGGGGCGCGGGAATTATTTATTTTCGTTCCATTTGCGCTTGGCTAATCGTATCGCTCGGCGAACACCGCCCCCCAGAATTTCTTAATTACGGCGTTGTGCTAATGAGAACTCCGGGGGGTTCTTTGATCGCTTCTTGCGGTTACGCGGTCCCCGGAAGTCCCGACCCTTTTCCCCAGGACCAGTTTTTCAGCTTGAGTCTTTGTTTGACGGTCCCAGGGCCTGGCGAGGGCCTCCAGAGGCCGGTGATGATGGCCGATTCCCCACTGTCCAAGAGAGGCCAGAGGTAGATTGGGAAGCCAGTGTCCCAGAGGCAGGTTGCGTAGATCGACAAGAAGAGAAAGAGTTCATGGAGGACATTCCGTTGGAGTTCCTATACTCAGTACCAGCTGTTATGACCACCCAAAACAGAGTGTTGGTGACTGTGGCCAGTGGCGTGCAAGGCAACTTGCAGAACCATGGCCACCTGTAGTACGATACTGAGGAAACGCACCTCGTCCACACTCATACAGCTGACCACGACGACTCATGTGGTCTCTACGCTGACGAAAACGGTCAGTATGTTGTACTCTGCCTGACAGCATACATGTAACAATTTATAGTGACGGAACAACACAGACTATTCAACAATAGTTACGTGGCTGCGAAGGGAGTGTATATTTCCGATGCATCAGAGAAGGTTGTCGTCCTCAAGAAAAAGGACTTCTGCACGAAGGCAGAGATACAGACAAACCCTGCCAAGATATCCAAAGTCTTGTGCACGGAATCAAAAGCTGGCTTGACAGCAGTTGATTCAAAGTGCAAGAGATCTGGAACACTTCGAAAACATGACAACAAGGTACGTGTACACGGAGACATTCGTGAAGGACGAGACAAGCGAGATGGAACGCATCATCACGTTACGGCTTGTGGCTCGCGGGTTTAAGGACGTCGAGGCTTTCGATGTGGAGATTGTCTCAGGCACAGCCAGGCGGGCGAGTCAGAATGGCGCAGTTGTCATGGACCATCGCGTCCTTGGACATAAATAAGGCTGGCCTAACGGGCCTGGCCTGCACCGAGCTACCTGCAGCCACGGGCCAGAAAGAACGGATGGTACGCTTCACGTTGCCACTTGGTTCGGTTTGGTTTTCAGAATGTTAGTTTTGAAATTTTCGTCGTACGGCAAATTAAACGGCAATGTGTGCACCAGTTCGAGCCAGGAACGGGCACCAAGTACAGAGCCTTCGCTTTCACATTCAGGACCATCACGCGAGGCTTTGGCCGTCAGGCGACTTCAAACGACGAGAAACTCGAAACGAGCCCAGATTTTCTCGCGACCAAGCATGGGGATGACATAAGTATGGCAGGAATCCGGGGCACAATTGGCAAATACGTCAAATGCGTAGCGAGCGCGTGTGGCGCATGTAAGCTTAACAAACAGCTATACATATTGCGCCGCAAGATATACCAAGACTGGGGACGACTAGTTGCGTGCAGCTTGACCCGGATCAATAGTTTAAGCAGGTTCGCCCCATACGACACCCAGTAGTCACTGGAGCAGAGTCAGAAGACAAAGTGACGACAACTGTGTCAGATATGTTCATTGGCTTACGTGGGGCGCTGAGCGTAGGCCTTGGTGACCCAGGGTTGATGGTATACATGGTCTCGTTACAGCGTGTCCAAGAACAGCAAAACAGTACGTCGATACAACGTCGTTACATGAAGTCTACAACTATATCAAGCAATGATTGCCGCAAGAGTGGACCTGCGTAGCGACCCCGGCTACTGTCACCTCATCGGCGATGCGAATGACGAGTATCAGTGGAATTGCGTCAGACATCAGAGATGCCAACCGCATATCGCAGAGAGACCTGCCCAGTGGAAAAGTGGGTGTCCACCTTACAGATGCGCATTGCATTAATTGCAGCCCATGACTTGGAGGATTGCTACCCAGCCATCGCCACGCTACATGAACTCAACGCAGGATCACTTACGCCGACAGCGGAAGAACGCGTTAGAGATAGGTGGCCCAAATCCTCATTCAGCAAGGATCTTCGGACAAGCGTTGGACGTAATTACCCTTCTTGGGCATGTCGTTTGTATGTGGCAGATGGTGGAGAGGGGTGTCGTGCATAGTATACAAAAGGTGGTGCACGTGATGTGACGGCCTTTGGACAGACCTACGGCTACATTGATATTCGGCCTCTTCCTACATTTAATGACGGATCGTCGGTCGTGCAGGTATGAGGTAAATTGATGCGTTTTTTACAGGGTCCACCAGACAGCAATATTTGAGTTTGGCCCACAGGGCCAACGGATGAGGCGTGTAGGCTAGCACGGCCACGTGCCCATTCTTGCCCAGCCACGGGCATTTGACCTTTACGCTTTTAGGTGCCACCTTGGAACCCCAGCTTGGTCACTGGCAAGTCAGCTCCCTTTTCAGGATCTCGGTGTCTGAAGGTTCCTTCGGACACCGGTCATGCGTCCATGCATACTTGTTTGGTGGACTGAGTGGTCGGCAGGAGAAGACGAGGTTGCCCGCTGCACTGCCTTTGTGAATGCAGTCTCAGACATAGGTCTATACACGTAGTTGAGCTTAACGTAGCCCTGCGCTCGGCTCTGCCCTTCCTGACTTCGAAGGGAGTTTAGGAGAAACTAGAAGCATCGCGCCTGCGATCGTGGCCGTGTGTATTTCGAGCGGCGAGCCACATATCACTGTCCCATATATGGGACATGATTGCACCTGAGTCGCGGGAAGCTTTCTTCTCTTTTGCATCCCATGCTTTCTCTTTCGTCACAATATGGACAAGCCATGGGGTATGATCACACACCTGGCATGTAAAACGTGGTTGTGCTTCCGTATCACGTTCGAGTTGCACGCGGGGAGACGCGAGAGGTTTGGAAGTTAGAGGACCGGGCCCCTTTGAATAATATTCAGGAATGAGGACTGGGGCTTCAATGATCAGGCCGAAGACCTGAGGGAACTTCAGCTTGTGCCTCACGGGCACTCTGGCACATACGTACAATTATGGGGGTTATGTTGCATTCGCGGTGCGTCTATACCTCCGTCGGAAAAAAGACAAAGAGAGAGAAGGAGGGGAAGAAAGAGAGAGGAGGAGGGCGATAAAGAGATGAGGGGGGAGATAGAGAGAGAGAGAGAACACAACAAACAAGAGAGACAGAGAGAGAGAGAGACAGAGACAGAGGGAGAGAGAGAGAGAGAGAAACACAAAAAAAAAATGATTGCAAAAAGAGAGAGAGGAGGGAAAGAGTGGTAGGGAAAAGGAGAGAGAGGGACGCCAACGAGCCAGGCAGGAGACCGCCCCCCGGGCAGGCGCTCGGAGCGCTCGCGAACTTGGCCCGGGACAGCGCTCCGCGGCAGGTAGAGATCTACAAACACCAGGCAGGCAGGGCCGTTCCAAGCTCACCCGGCTTTTCCCGCGGCATCTCTCCACGCGGACCGGGTCCCCTCTTCGCTTCATTATCCTTCTCTTCCCTCCTTCTCTTCCTTCTCCCATTTTTTTTTGTTGTACGTTCTTTTGCGTCTGAGGCCTTCAAACAAAAACTCCTGAGACCTCTTTGGGACCTCCGGGGATCCTTGGGATACTCTGGAGACTCACGAAGGGGAAGAACTTTCGACGAGCATCGAACATTTCCGTATACGCGCCCTCGCGGTCTGGATTTTGGGGCACAAGCCTGCGGATGCGCGGTCGTGTTGATCCGTTCAGCGCGGGGCATCTGCGAGAGTCGGCCCGGACCTGCGGGGTCGCGGCTTGGGGGCTGGGGGCCCGGCCCGCGAGGCCGCGCACACGGATATATTTTCGCCCACGCCTGTCGGGCCCCCCCCAGCACCGCCCATGGCCTCTGAATCGGCCGATACCCACAGGTCGGCAATGTTGGAAAGCCGCGATCGCTCAAGGTTGAGCGTGGCACGCTTTGTCAGAAACCAGCGCTGGCGTCATTGCGGCGTTCACCCGCCGTATGTGTCAAGTACATGGCTTCTGGTTTGAGTTCAGGGACATTCTTTGATTCCGGGAGCTTGTCGAGGTAGATCTGTAGGACCATTCGGACGGTCGGTCCCTGTTAAACGTTTGGTCCCGAGGGGACGTTGGCAGTGCCTCCTGTTTCGGCGGAGGGGGGTGCGCTCAGTCTTCAAGCCAAGGCTCGGTGAAACGCGCCATCTAATTGATGTGAAAAGCACCTGCGGGGCTGCAGGGGGAGGCGAAGGAACGGTGGAGGGGGACGGAGGACGTGCAGGATAGGCGGGAGAAGCGAATCAGCACCGACGAGCGCACACCGCTCAAAATAGAGGGAGGTTTGGCAGCAAATCATGGGAGCCTTGTGTAGTCTTTTATTTATGTTTTTCACGTCGATTAGCGCCTGCGAGTCGATGTGATAGTGCTGATTTAGCGTCGGCTAGCGTCGATTGAGCCTCGATTAGCGTCGATTTAGCGTTGATTAGCGTCGATCCGCAACAGCCCGCAACAAGGTTTGGGAGGCTCCCAAGAGTTGCCACCGAAGAGAGGTGGGAGGAGATGGCGTGGGAGGCCTTTGCCTATACCGCCCCGGCCAGGTCACACGGAAGTGCGTGAGGCTGCTGACCGACGCGGAGGGGTTGGGTGGACGGGGAAAGCGAGGGTGCCAGCACGGCTTGGTTGCTCACAGGCCAGGGGGATGGTTCGAGTGTTCTCGTCACGGATCGCATAGGAGATGGGCACGCTGCAGTGGAGACCCATGCCAGGAAACACCCTGCTGACCTCCAGGGTGCCTTGGGTTTCTTGGTGTTCGATGGTTTTGCGAAGGGAAGCGTGCCGTTCCCGCACCAAAAATGAACGGACGCCCTGGTGTCTCAGGGTTGGGTTTCCTGTGGAAGGTTTCTTGTGGTCGGGACCCCACTGTAGACGCAGCAGGTCGTAAGAGAAGGGCATGGTGAACAATGCAAGCAGTCTCGTTCTTTAATACGAGTTCGGGGCGTCACTGCAATTGTCCACAGCGTCGCCCAAGACGCCCGAGATATTGCTACTTCATCCTCTGTGGCCACTTTGCTCATTGCATTCGAGGCCGAAGTTCGCGCGGTACAAACGGAAGCCGCAGCGCGATACGTGTTACAATTTATCATGCGATGATGACAGAGCTTAGGTTGAAGGACCTTGTGCATGGGCGATGGTTGCAGTAATCCAGCAGCTGCGCGGCTTCTCTCAAAAGGTAGTTCTTTTGATTCGCGCCATCGCTATTTACAATTGATCGTGAAATTGAGTCGGTATCGTTTAACCAATCCCCAATTCCATCCCCATCCCCTTGGAGACCCCCCAAAATTTCGCCCCCAGTTGGGGATGCACCTCTCGAAACCCCCAGGGGACGACCTATGCTCCATCTAGGGGGGTAACTCGGCCAGTGGGGCCCAGGCCACGCCGCTGGGGATGGGGATCGGTTAAACGATACTCACTAAAAGCGTGAGCCCAGAGTAAAGTGCAAGCGGACATCGCCCCGAAAGCGTGGATCCAGCATCATCTTCAAGCGATCGTGACCCCGGCAGTGCAGACCGCGGACCTGGCAGCGTGGATCCAGAGTCACTTACGCAGGACCGGGGCCTGCGGAGTGCGGGTCAAGCACAATTTCGCAGGCCTAGAGGTTGACACCAGCACCAATGTCGGCGGTGTGCCTCCACCGAGGGAAGAAGATCCCGATCTCGGCGTTGGTGGTAATATTCTGGCTTCCAATGTGACCGAAATATTGCCACCAACACCGCGAAATCTAGGATCATCTTCCCCCTGTGGAGGTAACCCCTTGTGATGGTGTTGGTGCCCATTTCCAGGCCTCCAACAATTTACGATGGACCGTGGCCTTGGAAGAGCGGAAGCAGAGTTATTTACCGGGTATCGTGATAGGTCAGGAGTCGCCCCACGTGACGGTTGTACGGCGTTTTGCCTTATAGGAGGTCTCATTCAAACCCTATTAATTGGTCCGTTCCCCCCCCCTAATTCTTATGCCCCCCTTAATTCCTATGGCTATGCCTATGCCTATGCCTATGCCTATGCCCCCCCCTATCTCCTATGCCTGTGCCGCCTATACCTATGCCTGACGCAGTTGCTGGGCCGCAGCACACAGCACAGTGTCTAGCACAGCACAGTGTCTAGCACAGCACAGCACGCATGCTAACTGCTATGCCTATGCCTGGTGTCGGTACAGTACAGTGGACTGGAGTGTGCGCGTGTGGAAAACAGGATCGCCCTCATCATTATCATCATCGTCATCGTCACCATCATTACCAACTATCTATTTGGAGTCAACGCTGGCTGATATGGGGGGATGGAGAGCAGTTGCTTTACTTTTAATTCTCTACCCCTTGGCAACATTCACCACAGCGATCTTTGAAACCAATGCAAAATTACGGTTCAGAATCGGGAGGCCCGCCAGTCGGTTGGCGGATGCAACATGTTTAACATAACATTTGAGTTGTTTTTGTTTGAGTGTGACATGTGTCTTCATGCCCTCGTCGAGTTTCCTTGACCGGGGGCGGCGAATGCGGGTTGCTTTTGTCTGAGTGTGACATGTGTCTTCATGCCCTCGTCGAGTTTCCTTGACAGGGGGGGCGAATGCGGACGGAAGGACGTCGAGATGCGTCGCGCGTCCGTATCGCTGATCATGAACTTGGCTACCCACGCTAAGATCAAGGACTCGCGACATTCGGATTTTCTTGCGGCTCTGCTGCCCACATTTCCGCCCTACTCACCCGTTCCCACTTTCCCTCTTTGTTTCTTCTCTGCCCCTTCTTTTCCCGCCCCCCGTTCTTCAGGGCTCCGGCGAGGAGCAGGAAGGGGAGGAGGAGGAGGAGGACCGCAAGAAGCAGATTCTGCTGCCCGCCTGACTGGATGCCAGAGTCCACACATCAGCGGTCTTGCCATCGCCTCTGCGTGCGGGTCTGGCGTGTACCCCTCCTCTGACTCGAGGTGCTGGCGACGGGCTCTTCACAGGGCCTCCGCCCCTGGCCAGGCCCATCACGTGTGTGCCTCCCTGGCCAAGCCGGGGGTGCGCAGGCACCACCGCTCCTGGGCCCAGGATGAGCCTGGCCAGGGGCGGTGGATGTGGGAAGATCCCATCGCCTTACCTCGACTAAGGAAGCCGCCATAAAGATAAACTTTTGGCGCTCCGCGTGGATTTCGTGGATCCGCGCAGGGGCCCCCCTGGTGGCGCCTCCGGCGCCGCCCCTGGCGCGCGCGGCGCGCCAGGGAGGGGGGTCCAGCGCGGATCCGAGAAATCCGCCTGGAGCACCAACAGTTTTTGTTTATGCCGCTTCGTTTTTTTCTTATGTTTTGTTCTACTATTTGCGGTGCCCCGAGGATCGGATTGTGGAGGCGGACGCGCTGAAGCCGTTGGCAAAGCTCCTCGAGGACGCGGACGAGGAGGTCAAGGAGCGCCGCCCAGCCTGGGGCCCCGCGGCCCTCCGTCCAGGGGACGCCGAGACCACGGCGAAGGCGAAATCTGGCGGCCTCCACGGCATCTCGTCGATCGGAGGAGAATGAACCACATGAAGATAAGTTGTAGGATGCTCGGGGCCCACCTGGCTCTGCCCTGTGCTCACCTGGCGGTGCGGAGCGGGGTCCAGCGCCGATCCAGGACATCCGCGCGGACTTCGGGAAGGCTAGGCCTGTGTTGCGTTTTCATGTACCATCTCGGTAGGTTCGATGTTCCTCAGCTCGTGTGTCGGCCCAATGTGTTTTTGTCCCCCTCAGTTCGGTGTCGGTCTTCATTGCACCGCCTGCGTCGTATTTACGAGCTCACGCTTCGCGCTAACACACGTTCTGAGGATGGTCGATGGGCGGCGAAACACCGCGCCCACATCATGCCCCTTCGGTTTTGACTGCCGCGAGTCCGTGCCCTCGCGTCGGCCCCCTCGCCTGCCAGCGCGGGGCCCCGGGCGCCCCAGAGAGCTCTCGGGCAGACACCGGTTGGGGCTCTGGGCCAGGGCGGTGCGCGCCGTGGGGCTCTCCGTCCTCTGACCGCCCCTGCTCGCTCTGTCGAGGTCGTGTACCCATCGGTCGTTGAAAGTAGGTATTTTTGGATTCCCCGATTCCAATCTATTTTCAGCGCCTTCCTACTTCAAGAGTCGAGGGGTTTTTCCTCTTCCCTCCTCTTCAGGAGGCGGGGCGGAAACCCAATCTATTTCCAACGCCTTCCTATTTGATGTTTCTACCTACTTCTTCCGACCGATGGGTAGTGTATCCGCTGGCACGTAGCGGCGGTCTCGACGTTGCGTCGGCTCTCATCGGCTCCCCCTTCATCGTAGACCACTTCTCGAAGAGAGCAGCCGCCAGGGTCTTCTGCTCAGCTGCCTTGGACTGGAGGTGCGTCAAAGGCCCGTCCCCCCAACTCTCCCCCCATCTTCGCGCCGACGCGGTTCTCGATGATGGCGGCCTCGCCGGGCTCGCGATTCGGTCCTTGTTCCAGCCTCGGGGACCTCTTCGGCAGCTGCGCCTCGCCGAGAGCGCTCCAGGGTCGCCCAGACTGTTCCGAACGCTTTCCCAAATCATCCCGGGGGGGGGGAGTTGGGAGTTACGGGTGCGAGTCGGGCGGGTGGCACTGCGGGGTGACCCAAGTGGGGGGTGAAGCAATGGGCCCTGGAGGGGCCCGTTAGCGTTTCATGTGGAGCCAGTTGGTGCCCAGAAGGGACCCCAACGTGCCCCATTGAGGGCCCCTTTCTTCACATCCCAGTTGGGCCACTCCCCGTGAGCACACGCCCGATGTGGGGTTCGAGGTTGTCGGACGAGATTGTGTTTTCTCTTCTGGCGCGCAACGGTCGTCACCCGCCCCCCCCCCCCCTCCCTCCGGGTGGTAGTAACGATCCCGCGTGGGTGGGAGGGGCTTGCCCCCCCGACATGCTGGTGCTCGCATGCGCTCTAGGCCTCTCAGATGGGGTCGGAGTAGATGGGGTCGGAGGATCGCGCCGCATCGACGATACATCGGCGATGCGGTTCGATGTGGAGCCCGATTTGCTTCACGTCTGCATCGCCGATGCATCTCCGACGTCGACGATGCGTCGTAGGTGCATCCCCGATGCATCGCCGATGCATCGGCGATGCGGCGTGGTCCTCCGACCCCATCTACTCCGACCTCATCTAGGATGCCCCTAAACATGCTGGCGCTCGCATGTACTCAGAAGGGAAAGAAACACACAGACACCATTAATCGTCGATTTCCCAGAAAAGACGGGAAAATATGGGAAGTGGGGGGGATGACAAAAACCTAGAAAATATATGAAATTATGGGGAATCTTTTTATTTGTGTGTATTTATTTGTGTGTCCCAGGGCCCCTTCATGTACACCTGTGGGGATCGCAGCGCACCCCCGCCCCGACGCGCCCCACTCCGCCCACACGCGCCCGGGCAACCGCCGTCACCAGAAGAACATATGCCAAGCACGTACCCTCGAGCGTTTTTGTTTTCCCGAGCCAGGGATGGGTACACGACGCCCGGGCAGCTGATCTGCCTGGGCCTCCCTTGAGACTCCAAGGTCGATCTATAGTGCGGGGTCGAACTATAGATCGACCTGGCACTTTCCTTGGGTCGCACTATAGTCCAACCCATGATTTTTGGCCAGGTCGTACTTTTCTTCGCTCGCGCATTGTTAAGGATCCCCTGAGTGAGGGGGCATGCGTCCCCTGAGCGAGGGGTATCGGCTGCATCACATTGCGCGCATGTTACAACATCCCGCAGCTGCGAAGGCTCGAGGGCACATAGCGCTACTCTTGCTTGCGCGCACTGGGGGTGGGCAATGGTCAAGGGCAAGACGGAGGTGAAGATACGGGCTTCTTCTGTGACAGAGGAACAGTTGAAGCCGCTCGTGAAACAGCACATTGATCTCATCGAAAAATGCCAACTGCAAGGGGGCATAGATGACTTCATGAAGAACAACATGCCGTTTCTCTTGCCGCTTGCGCAGCTCACCACACGCGTCAAATGGAAGAACCTCCAGGACGTCGTGTTGAAGCAGAAGCCGAACATGCACCAGGAAGAGTGTAGGCGTTTCTGCCAGGAGGTGGCCAACGCTTTCAGCCATGTTTGCAACAAGTTCTACATCGCCAAGACGGGGGGGAAGCTGGAGGCGCACACAAAAATGCTTGGGGTGGCAATGGGGCTGCAGCCTGGCAGGGCAAGCCCAAGCACAGGAGAGAGCAAAAAACGCGCCGACAGCAGCTCCGACATAGAGATGAACCCTCCAAAATCTTCCACGGCCGCCGCGTCGTCCAGCGCAGATGGGGGCAGCAGGCGCAATGTCATCAAGAACGCCTTCGGCATCAGCCCGCCTCCGAAACCGGCAGGGAAGAAACAGAAGGTTGCCACGTGGAGCCCGATGGTGGTGTTCTCGTCGCAGGAGGACGTCGAGCTCGCTGACCCGCCCGCCGCGGCCCCGAAGGAGGATCGGAGGGGGCGGGCAGGGTGGGGGGGGAGGGGAGCAGTTTTGATTTTTCACGGCGTAACCGAACCCCTTCGGGAGGGGAGCTCGGGAGGGGCAAGTGAGAGACCCGCCCCAGGATCCCCTGGCCACGTATTTCGATTTCAACTCCGAGCCGATGTGCATGGTGATGAAGTTCGCAGACAGGGAGGAGCGGGGAACACTGACGAAAGGAGGCGATGGTTTCTTGGATGCCGTGTTTCCCGACGGCAGGACGGAGAAGACGGAGCAGCCCAACGCCCTCCTGGCAGCAAGAGCGGCAGCCGCGCAGGCGAAGGCGAAAGCGTGCAAAAAAGGGAAGCCAGCAGGACATGTAGTGGCAAAGAAGCCTGCAATGAGAAAGCCCAGTGCAGCCGCCGCGAACACGGAGACGGACCAGGACGATGAGGGGGAGGAGGAAGAGCAGCTGGAACCCGATGAGCCCGTGGATGCTGCAGATGAGCCCTCGGTCGGCGCTGGGCCCCCCGCTGGCCACGCCGACCGCGGGTACAGCGTGATGTACTACAAGAGGGACCACTCTATCGGGTTGAAGCGGACGCACGGTGAGAAGAACCAGTTTGTGAGTTTCGGCGGGAAAAAGTACAAGGACACCTTGGACGAGGCCACGCTCAGGGAGATCGGCGCAGAGCTGAAGAAGGCCTTGGTCGACGGCACCGTGGCTGACACCAAGGAAGCTGCTAAGGCGGAGGCTGAGCGCTTAGTGGCACAGCGCTTGGGCGACTAATCGCATCCATCCTCATCATCGCATCCATCATCATCATCATCCTTACGGTCTTCATCGCCATTGCCATCGCCATACCCGTTGGCAGAGCGCCCTCTCCAGTGCTAGACGACACCCCCTCATCGCAGGGGCGCCCCTCCGTGAGGGGACCGCGCGATGGATTGGCGAGTGATGGAACCCCTTAAGAGGGGAACCCCTTAAGAGGGGCTTCAGCACACTCGCGATAAGACAGGGCAACGGCCCCCTCCGAGAGGGGGCCCCTCGGGGAGGGGATCAAAGGTGCGGCAGTCTGCTTACTCATTATGTGTATGGCATTGCGTTTCCTCCTCGTTCCATCCCTCTCCCATTTGCTTTCATGTTCTTCATCCGCAACCGTTCGACAGAGCTGACGCCCAGCGCGCTTGGGGGCCAGCCCCCCGCCCCGAGCTCGCGGCCATGCGGGCGCTCATCGCGTGCCTCTCGGCGCTCCAGGCCGCGCGGAAGCAGAATGCAAGGGGGGAGTTGGGGCAGGATGAGGAGAAAAGTAAGAGTGACGGCCACTTGTTTGGCCATCTGGGCGATAAAAAATCAATCCAGCAGCCGAGTTTTAGACCCACCTTTTTTAGCAAAAAAAGGGGGTCTAAAATTGGACGAATTCCTATGAAATTCCATTACATTCACCCCCCCGAAGGGCCTCCCACGAGGCCCCCAGATTTTAGCCTTTTGAGTCTGACTAAAAACTTTCGGCCGCAACCGTTCTGGACCCCAGGCTTCCGGCATGATGATGTCGGGCGGCTGCGGCGGCGGGCTGCCTCCAGAAGGCGGTGGCGGCGGCAAGCGGCCTCACGAGGAGCTGGGGGTACACGTGGTTAAGGCGCCCCTTCCTGAGGGGGTCCGTTTACAGAGAAGGGGATCCGTTTACAGAGACCCCTGCCAGAGGGGATTTATCGATAGAACCTCCCCTTCCTGAGGGGATTCATTCACAGAGACCCGTGACCCTTCCTGAAGGGATTGATTTACAGAGACACCCTGCAGGACGGGCACGCGCCTGTCTTTGAGGTCGACGACGACGACAGCGAGGCGGAGGAGGAATTCATGCTGGACTTCCAGGACCACAGGAAGCGGTACACCCGCTCGTCCCACCGCTTGTGGCTTCGCAAGGCGAACTGCAAGAAGTGTTGGCAGTGCGGCAAACACACCTTCTTCTCGGTGTGCGTTGGCAAGGCGTGCCAGGAACACCACGCGACCCAGTGGTTCCAC